AGAGAAGTGTCTGAGAAGGGGGCACTGGCCTGGAGTGATGCCACAGCGAGCGGAAAGTCCAGATCTTCTCACGGCGGCTTCGGCCGGCTGATTAAACAGATGAGGAACATGTTATAAATCAGTGTGCTGTCACCGCTGCCATCTCGCCAAGAAACAGTGAAACTCCGCTCAAAGCCGTGGTCTGCCAGCGCCGACTCAGCTAAAACCTGCGATCGCTAGAGGTGTTTCATTATTGATCACGCGATAATGCAGTAACATAAGCATGGCCTGGGGGCTTCGGGGACAGCGGTAAAAGCTTCTTCTGGTATCTTCTGCGAGGAGCTGGCCCTGCTATCCAGTTTCAGAACTCTCTCCTCGGCACAGGGGGAGTGAAACATTAGAGTCTAAAAGCAGAAATTTTACCAATAAGGCCCTTCAGATTTCTGTGTGCGTCATCAGTGCTGCCTGTCTCCTGAGCACTGGAGCTCATCTTCTGTCTCTCTCTCTCACTCCGAATCCTTCTCCTCTCTACTGAAATTCCCAGGAGTGGTATGGGAGGGAGTAGGATTCTTCGAAACCGGCCTCTTCCCATTTTGCTGATCTTGGCAATATTAGAAGGGCAAATATTTTCCCCATTTCTTCCTGGATTCGTCCTTTCGATGGGCTTTTTCATGAGCTTGGCTTTTTGTCTCTTCCTTGGCGGCATTCTTATTTCAGTGTTTGTTTTTTTCCCCCTGTGGTTCAGCTGATATGCTGGTGTAAAAAAAATGCATTCCTGCGTTCCTGCTCTTCTGCTCCACTCCTACATGTTGTGGACGAGTGAGCCAGAGGGTGGAACCGGCAGGTCAGCTTTGAAACCCTGAGAGCAGCAGCTCCTTCTACAGGGAACGCCGAAGCCAATCAGTGACTAAAGGCTTGGAAATTCAATCGATCAAGGCCACACCAGTGGAACGATTCAATTAAGAGCTGAGGGTCCTGCCAGAACCAGGTGTTAGGATCTCTGGTGCAAGAGATGGTTTTTTATGCTAATCATCACATTCCTGGGAATGATTTTTTTGTTCATTCTTTTATGCTTTACTTTACTTTTTTGTTTTCCTTAAGCTCTGATTTATTTAGTGATCAGATTGTCTCCAGTATGTGGACAAACTTGTAAGGCATCTACGGCTGAAAGCTCTCTGTTCTTGCACTGCTTAAGAAAAAGAGAGAAAAAAAACGGCCTTTGTGCTCTTTTTGTTGCCTTCCCCTGTGTGCATCCCTGTCCATCACCCTTCCTTCCTCTTTTACTGCTGCATCTCTGGTTAGGAAGTATTTTTCCATCCTGGCCAAATTTCCCATTGGCCCTTACCAATCATGGCCTCCTAATAATCCCCATCTATGAATTGGTTACACTACTCTGCTCTCCTCCCCACTGATAGCTGGTGTGTGGTGAGTGTACTGGCATGTGGGGCTACACACCCGCAGGTGGTAGAGGGGATCCCCATTACCTTTAAAGCACTTTGAGTGGAGTGTCCAGAAAAGAGCTATATAAGTGTAAGCAAATATTATAATAATTATTATTATTCTCCCTTACATTATTCATCAGTCCTTCTCTAGACCTGAGGCTGTGCTGGGTTGGCCTACCAGAGGCCGGACAGGATCCGATTCCCCATGAAGTCCCTTAACTGGGCGCAGTTTAATCTTTGTAGTAGATTTCAATGCCAGGCGTCTGAAATCCGTATTCTTGTGCACAAGCCAGGTTTCAGTCCCGGGTCAGTGGGACTGGCAGAACAGAGTGTGATGTGCTGAACAGACTGGCCTTGCTTAATGTTGTTAGAGAGGAATGTTTGTGGTAGGTATCTAATGTTCTGTTTTAAGTTTGGATTCAATGCAGCATTGCGGCGGGGGTCAGCTGTGGTTTCTGAGAAGTTGTGCCCTTTGCCCTGAAGGAGCATCGCTTTCTTGCGATTTCTTCGGCTCGCAGGGCCGGAGCCCTGCTGGGGCTGCCGTCCGAGTCCTGCAGGAGGCTGGTGGGCCTGACCCCGGTTTTGCCTTCCTCTCCCTCCCGCAGGTTTTACTTCCGCAACTGGCACGGCCTGAACGAGAAGGAGCCGGCGGTGTACCGGTCCGTGCTGCGCGGCGGCGGGGACTGGAGCAGAGGGAAGGCGAAGGGCGAGCCGGGCAGCCCGCTGCTGGACCAGCCTTCCCTGGAGTACCTGTTCGCACAGGTGAGGGGAGTGACTGCGGCCTGCTGGGTGTGCCTGGACCGCAGCTGCCACGGCAACTTTTGACAAGAGTCAACAGAGTTAGGCACGCAAGACTAGCTGCTGAGAATCCCAAACTCGACACGCGGCCCCCGCCAGCGATCAGAGCTGAACTGGTCAAGCTGAGCGGCCCGCTGACAGGGTAATGCAGGAGGAAGTGATGTGGTGATCTAGTCCAGGGGTGTTAAGACCTGATTGATTTAATGAATGGGGACAGTCTGTTTTGTTCTCCTTCACAGAGCTCTACAGTTCCCATTTTGAAAACCCATCCTTTTCAAAAGTGTTGGCAGCTGTGAAACTCTTCAGGCATTTAAGCTTAACTTTGAAGCTTCGGTTTTTCACCCTTCAGAACATTCAGTGCTGCTTCTTTTGTCCAGAGTAGCAGATGGACCCGGGGGGAACCTGGTGTCCCTGGACATTGCTCTGTATGTCCATCCCAGACGGTAGAGATGCGTCACTTCAGATTTCAGCCAATGGAGAGAACCCGAGTTGTGGAAAAAGTTATAAAGCTCAGATTCCTAGTATTTACGCCCGTATTGTTTCCTTTTTTCACCCCATTGTCTAAGCAGCTCACTTGTGACCTGGGAGGTTCTGCTGAAAGTGTGGCAGAGAGTACTGCTGCTTCAATGGGGGTGGTGTGGCATGTGTGGAGGGGGGGGGTGCTGTTGTAGGGGGACTATTGCAAAAGGGGGAAAAAAAAACTCAGAGCTGAGGTTTCCTTCTGCTCGGCACTTCCTCTGCTGGCTCGTCCGAGATGCAGAGCACAGACCCCAGCAGGAGACAGGTGCTATAGTTCAGACTCAGCCCCTGGGCTGAGTCCAGTCCAGTGTTTTTTGGTATATTTCTTCAAGAGTCAGGACCCATGAGAGTGAGTTAGCCCCTGTGGTCTTAATCAATGACAAGTCCAGGTAGGTCTCTTCTTGGCTGGTCTCGGCTCTAAGCGGGCAGTGTCCTCCCTCTCCCTGCCCCCTCCTAGGGGAAGCACGACTTCGTGAACGACGCCGTGTCCCTGCAGGACATCCGCACTGAAGCAGAACTCAGCAGGTTCAAGAACGAGAGCCTGGGCATGGCCGTCCTGCACCTGTCCAGCGTGGCCCTGCAGTCTGAGCGCTCTCTGGAGGAAGTGGCCAAGGAACTGAGGTAACTTCCTGTTTTCGCCCGCAGACAAGCCTGTGTTGCATCTGTTTTGAATGTCTGCTGATAAAAGGGACCTGCGATCACGCCCAGCCAGAGTCACACTTGACGCCATCGAAGGTTAATTATGGGTCAGCTGCTTCTCCTGGATTCAGGAGGTTACGGCAAGCAAGGAGGCTGTCCTGAACGCACAAGGGAGAACAGAGGGCAGGCATCTGCTTTCTTGTTGATGGGACACCATTCCTTCACAGGGCAATAGATGGTCCCAGCTCAGCTTGTAGAAATAGAGCTGCCACACTGCACAACTCACCACAGCGACATTTTGTGTGCCTTAACCACAGGAGACTGTTTTTATTAGAGTATTTGCCTACCAGGTAATTAATGCAAATTGTGCGGCAGACAGGCGCAGCTCTTCAGGCAATATTTCTGTAAGTGTCACGTTGTCGCTGCTGCGCTCTTGCGAATTAGAATCAAAGGGAGATCTGCACAGGGCGTGTTTTTTGAGGATTTGAGCTCTTAATTTCTCATTATTGTCGCCTTCTCATTGGTTTGAATAGGTGCTTCTGACATTTTGAGCCAAACGCAAATAAGGAAGCACCGCAATTGTCACAATGTGCTCTTTCTGGCTGGCAGGGAACGTGACCGGGATAAAGTGCATCACCCTTGCTTTGAGAAACGCATGTTATCTGATAGGTCAGATGAGGCCTACCGGGGGAGTCCCAGGTTCGAGCCTGGCAGTCTCTTCCACTGATCAGCTCAGTCCCACGTCGTGTGCGTCGTGTAATGTTTGGATCTTTCCCTCCTCCGGCAGCTTCATGCGCTGCATCCCCAAGTCGTTCAGCCGCCAGATCCAGCAGAACAACTACCTGACCAAGCTGCGCATCCGGGGGGTCTTCAAGCAGTTCGTGAAGGGCTTCCACCAGCACACGATCAGCAAGGGCAAGCTGGGCCCCCAGGACATCATGTACAAGTACCTGTCCACCCTGGAGAACCTGGTGCCCCACTTTGGCTGCGAGGTCTTCCCCACCACCTCCCTGGAGCTGCAGACGGAGGGCGAGAGGGCCGCCTTCTACGTGCGGGACTTCTGGAACCTGGGGCCCCCCGGGCCGGAGGGCTGCGAGCCACCGGACGGCAGGGCCACGCACGAGGTCAAGGTGTCCGGGATGGAGGGGATCCAGTGGAGGGTGGCGCGCACAGAGGCAAGTGGCACGCGTTCCCCCCACCTCCTCTCACCCGAGTTTCCTGCTGGGCAGGGCGGAGGAGGTGTGACTGCAGCTCGCAGAGCAGCGCCCGCCGCGCTGCTGTTAACTGCAGCTCTTACTTCCTTTTGTTGCCCCAGCTGGGTCAACTCAATCGTAAAACGTAACATTCACAATCAGTGGTACAATTAAGCCGCTCAATAGCCTTGGGAATTAAAAATTCAAGGGCAATAGAATGACAGTCAGTTGTCTAAATTGCCACTCAGGTGGAAGGAGCTCAGATTGACTGTGCATGGGATGGTCATGATAGTCAGCAATTACCTTGGCTTTCTGCACATTTGTTTGACGTTGACGTCTGACGGCTGTAGCTGTTGTGCACCAATATTTTTGCTGGCTACCTTCACGGTCCCTCCTAGTCTGTTTTTATTTGTGTGTATTGAGGTTCCCAAACCGGGCTTTCACCTCCGTGAACATTAGGACAGATTCAATGAAAGTTCTGTGGAATAAAGTCACTGTTTAGTAGTATACGCATTAAAAGAGCGGACTTTTCTGGGGAAGAAGAGCTGCTTTCGACTCGTCTTACATATGGCGTCCACATTTTCCTTAAAGGTTAGTTTGTAATCAACAATAATGTAACAGTAGTACAAAGATTTGTAAGTGTTGAGGAGCCCGTCAAGAGCTCGGTCTCTTCAACCAGGGCGGCTGTCGCAAGCGCGCTGCTCCACACCCTGGCTGCTTGGATGTGGTTGACTTGCTTCCCCCCGCCCTGTCTCCACTGTTGTTTCTTCTCTGCGGTGAGCGAACCCTGCGCAGGGTGCGGGTGTTCAAAGTGGAGTCATTGCTGTCTGCTGTTGAAGGTGACCGGCGATGGCCCGGGGCTGGGGGGCCCTGGCTGACGGCGTGTTTGATTCCAGGTGTCGGAGGGCTGCGGGGGCGGCTGCCACACCAGGAAGAGCAAGAGGGCGAAGGGGAGGACCAAGCTGCCGCAGCAGGTGGAGTACAGGAGCGAGCCGCAGTGGAGCTTCTTCTGCGACTTCCCAGAAATCACGCACATCGTCATCAACGGCTACCGAGTCAGCGTCAGCCGGCAGGACAACAAATCCATGGTGAGGAGGGGGCCCGCTCGGCTCCGGCCCTCTGCTGCAGCCTAGTTCCCCCAGTCACCCACCCACCTTGGAACATAAGAACAGTTACAAACGAAAGACTCCTTCCTTCTCGCCCATTTGTGAATTAGAAATGTGTGGGCCCATTTATGGGCGTGGCCACTCACTTGCCTGGCCCTGGGGTGTGTGGCTGTCTGGTGGGCGTGGCCACTCGCTTGCCTGGCCCTGGGGGGTGTGGCTGCCTGGTGGGCGTGGCCACTCGCTTGCCTTACCCTGGGGGTGTGGCTGCCTGGTGGGCATGGCCACTCGCTTGCCTTGCCCTGGGGGTGTGGCTGTCTGGTGGGCGTGGCCACCCACTTGCCTGGCCCTGGGGGGTGTGGCTGTCTGGTGGGCATGCCCGCCCGCTTGCCTGGCCCTGGGGGGTGTGGCTGTCTGGTGGGCATGCCCGCCCGCTTGCCTGGCCTTGAGGGGGGTTGGCTGTCTGGTGGGCGTGGCCACCCACTTGCCTGGCCCTGAGGGAGGTGGCTGTCTGGTGGGTGTGGCCGCCAGCTTGCCCATCATGATTGCTACACCTAGCTGTATAAATGGGTCAGCTGTGTGCTACGGTTAGATTTCCATCCAGCTCTCAGTGCACCTGAATGCTATAGAGACTGGGATAATGTAGTGATATTTTTTTCTACATGCTTGTTTTCTGTCCAGGAGCTGACGCTGCGCTCTGCCCTCGAGGCTCGGTCTTTTGTGTCCCTGCTGGACGGTTACTACCGGCTCACGGCCGACTCGCACCATTACCTGTGCCAGGAGGTGGCTCCGCCGAGGGTGGTGCTCAGCAGTGCCAACGGGCTGCACGGCCCCATGCAGTGAGTACTGCCCTGTATGGGCTGGGTGGGGGAGGGCAGGAGTATGCCCTGGACCGCAGGCTGCTAAGGGAACATGGTGGACATGTGCGTGTTCTCATCCAAGCCGGAATCACACAAATCTCACAGAACACGTTCTTTTGCAAAGCAACTAAATGGGGAACAGTAATTTTTTCCGGTGCATTGAACTTTTTCCTCTTTGTAGATGTCCTGTAGCACTGACTAAACCACTCAGGTGTAAATGTTTTTTATATTATAAATACTGCCTTACGGTGTCATAGTTATACGTGGGGTTAGCATACATGGAGACAGCCAAGGCAGTTAGTTTGGTGATTTTTTTTTATCAGAATAGAAGATAACATTACTTACATATTGAGCAGGTGGTGAAGAAATGTGGAAGAAATATTTCCCCAGACGTGAAGCCCGCACACGCACACGATGGGACATTCATTCAGATGAAGACGTGTGGACAGGCAGACAGTCAATGCTTGGCTTCATAGCGATACATGCTCTGTAGATCTCCAAGGGACATTCATTAGAGACGCCTGTTGCAGGAAGCGTCCCTGTCGTTGCTGAATTTCCCCTCTGTCACAGGGAGGAGTTTGCCCTTCACAAGCTTCGGAAAGAGGAGAAGGAAGAGGGCTTGTTCATGGTGCGGTGGAGCGTGCTGGACTTCCACAGGATCATCCTCACTGTGCTGAGCAAGCCCGAGGTCAGTGTGGGAGCATCCAAATTTTTACAGCGTGCTCGCACCCTGGCTTGATTGGCTCACTGGGTGAAATGACCTCAGATTCTGAGCCTTTCTCATGCACCTTACGAAGGGCTGGATCAGCATCCAGCTGTCTAGTTGAATTTAAATACCTGAACACAGCAAGGCAGTGCTGTGCATCCTGCTCCTGTGGCGTTGGATCACAGCACAGCGCTCGTCTCCTGCAGGAGGTGGTTGAAGTGCCGACAGGTGGAGGTGATTATGAGGAATTTATTCCTCCTGTTTTCTCTGTCTCTGGACCTCACAGACCAGTGGCAGCCTGAGCAGCCCGACGCACAAGCAGTTCCGGATCCACCAGCTACGGGAGCAGTTCCAGCTGGAGGGCTGGGACAGGGTGTTCAGCAGCGTGAAGGAGCTCACAGACAGCCTCAAGAGCTGCGTCCTGAAGTCGGGCAACGAGAGCTTCACCGTGAGAAAGTGCTGCCTGCCCAGGCCTGGAGGTGGGAGGTCGTGACCCGGAAGCGTTTCGAAATCGCAGATTTTTTTTCCTGCTTGTGTGTTTTTATTTTTGCTTTTTCTTCCACACTCTGCGAACATGGGGATTGGGGTTGGGGAAGGGGAATCGAAGAGACTAGAAATTTAATAAGGCTGCAGTATGAGAGAAGTCATAGAGCCATCAAGAGAAGTGAGATGTTAACTGTGGATTTTGAATGCACACAGACAATGTTCCACGTGCCCTGTAGCTGGAGAAACAGGCTGTCCCTCATGCATGGTTTGCCAGTCTGTTCACCTTGGTACCGTGGCACTGATTCGCAGTGGTGTGATTTGCAGTTCAGAAACGTACAAAAACAGACAAGGACGTTGAAAGGGATAATGTGTGGTATTTGCACTTGCCATCAGTAGATTCCTCACGTGCACTGGGCCAGGGTGTGTCAGCCCTGATGTGGAGGTTCAAACTGGTTTGGTGGTTGTTTTCTTTGGGGCGTGTTTGAGAAAGTAGGTTGCCCCAGGGGACACTACACTCTTATCTACCGTTTCCTAGAAAAATGCCACCCCTGTGCCTTAGGACAGAATCTTGGGGAAGTGTCCCTGTTCTCTTTACCAAGGACCTGCAGCTGTGGTCCAGGAGAGCTGCAGTCGAGCAGGGTTTAGAGGTCAATGTGTGCAGTAGGTGTAAATATTTTTGTTCAGTTAATTATCTGGACTCTGGAGCTTCCCACCTGCCCAATATCCAAAAATAAATTGAAGAAGGTGCTAAGGGATTGACATCCCAGCACTCCCTGACCTCCTCTTTATGGCGAGAAATTATGTCCTTAAGTGCTCAGTCTCTGTCTTAGCCCGTAAGTCAATCCCAGATTTTTAATCAAGCTTGAAAAATCTTCCTCGGCTAGCTGGATGCATGCTGGGATTGTCCCAGCAAGGGAATTTACTGGCATGTGAGGGCAGGAGTGGCTCCGATTCCTCTCGGGAGACGGACAGGGGTGTGGGATTTTGGGCGTCTCTGCTTACCTTTGGGTTTGATTGACCAGTGAAGTGGTTGGTGACATGGGTGGTGTATTGATTTTTTTTTCTCCATGTGTAGACATTTGTGGTGTGTAACTGGTTTTTGTTTTCTTGACATTCACAGAGCTGTCTAATCTGATCATCGTGAGGAAGCCGCCTGACAGCAGTGTCAGGCCCATCTCCGGCTCTCTGAACCTCAGTCAGCTGAGCTTCCACCAGATCAGAGATAAGGAGATCACACAGGTTTGTCGCTCAGTCGCCGCAGACGCGCCACATCCACCCCGTTACACTGGCAGCTGCTTCTTGACTGTTTTAAACAAAAAAGCCACCTACAAGAACAGAGACCCCTTTCAAGTATTCAAAATCATCACGGGTGCTGGCAAGGGCAAACCTGTGAATTTCTTCCAAACCAGCAGTGAAACGGAAACTAGAGGGAAAGTACATTTAGAAGAGAGACCAGGAAGAAGGTGCCCCTTTACACAAAGGGTGGTGGGAGTCCAGAACAAGTGCTTTGTAGAATCCAGTGCCTCTTAAATGGATGAAGAGGTTTTCAGATGGCTTTAGTAACTCTCAGGTTCTCAGCTTGTGTCATATCTGGATTCTCATCATGATAGTTGATCAGCATTCCTACGAGAAGAGAGGGATACCAGAGATCTTGGTGAATAGGTAGTTCGTTCAAGGGACACCAGCAGAAGGCAAGAACTTGTGACTCTGGCGCATCAAGAAAAGTGTTTTGGAGTCGAGTGACAAAGGCAGGATATGGGTGAGGGGTAGATTGTTTCTGCAAGTTATTGTGAATTTACGCCTAAAAAATGCACAGTCGCAGCATCTGTCTGCCTCTGTCTTGTCCATAGTGCCAAGTCTCCAGCTGAGCCTCTCCTCACGTTGGTCCCACAAGCACCCGGCCCGGCCTGGCTCAGGCGTGCCGGTGGGAGAGAGCGTTCTTTACCGACTAATGACAGGCGGGGTGTCTGCAGGACTGAACCACGTGTTCTATAGCAGTCAGACAGACACACTTTAAGAACGCGCTTTGAGGAATCATTTTTCCCCATATCCGTTCTTTTTTTCATTTAATTTAAAAAGCATTTTAGTTTCAAAATGCTAATTAAAAGCATTGGTTGTGCGAGGAGGTATAAAGTCCAAAGAATTGTATTTTTTTTCACCCCCCCCCAAGGATCGCAAGCACTAAGAATCTGAGCCTGCGGTCTGGCGTCCGGTTCTACAGCTCTTGGGGGCTGGCGGGGGTTCGCTGCGGTGCGCACAATGGCATAGCGCAGGGTGACGCGAGCGCTAGCCATGTACTTGGCCTAGGGTGTGGCGAGAAGTATGCGCAGTGTTCTTCCAGAGAAATGAAACAGAAATGACATGAGAAAAAAACGAAATGAACATTTTCACCCTCCTCAAAGGGCGATTGAATGTGCTCATTTCCTGACGCGCAGCTCTTAAACCTGAGTGCCGTGCACAGGAAGTGTGCTCCTGCCTAGCTCCGCGCCTGCTACATTGATTCACACCCATCTGTTAGTAATTTATTTGGCCGGCACTTTTAAAGCAAGCAACTTAATTTTGTATACACTTGGGTGCAGTTTTGGTACAATTTGGGGTACGAGGGTACAGCAGCAGTGTCTTGTCTCAAACTCAAACCTGCAACTTGCAACCTTCCAGAGCCTTTACCACTGCTCCGTACTGTTGCCCCACGCCTCCCAGTTCCCACTCTGTCCTAGCGGCCGTGGTGGGGTGCGCTGGGCCTGATGGCTCACCGGTCCGTCTGGTTCCTTTTCCAGGAGCATCACCTGGGCAGGGGCACCCGGACCAACATCTACTCCGGCAAGCTGCACGTGCGGGGCGGGGCGGGCGGCGAGGGCGAGGAGGGCGAGGCCTACGAGTGGAACAACAACAGCAGCAGCAGCAGCAGCGCAGACATCCGCGTGGTGCTGAAGATCCTGGACCAGAGCCACCGGGACATCTCCCTGGTGAGTCCGCGCCGGCCGGGTGCCGGAGGGAGGGGGCTGGGGGGGTTGTTCCGCAGGTCATGGCACATTTCCAGCTCCCAGCCCCACCCCGACGGAAACTCGGTCCTGCTCCCTGTCTGTAATCCGGTTCTCAGATCTGTCAATTACAAGAATGCTTCAGGGCTGAGAACCTGGTTGTGCCTTCTTCATCCCTTCAAAGACTCAAGGGCCCATGGTGCAAGGGCTCTGGGTAGTATTTTGGAACGTCTGATGCGCTTGGGAAACGTGTTTGGTTGAGACTCCACCTGCTTGTTAACTATCCCATAAGGAAACATTTGCAGTTGCGGAAGTAGATTTGCGCATTATTTTTGCTGTTTTCCAGGGTTTGATTTTTCCTGGTCCAGATGTATACCACTTGAACATAAGTGCCTGTGTTTGTTGTCATGGTGTTTCTCTGCTGCGTTTGAGGTTTCTCTGTGTCCTTACTGGTGTACCGCTGTAACCTCGTACAGGGGCAGGCGAGCGATTCTGTGGGCTTTTTCCCCCATGTTTTCTTGTCTGGAATCGGCGCGGTCAAGCCTGCCCCTCCGAGCGGTGGCAGTGGTCCACGGGCTGTTGCTTCCCTGTGGCCACGCCGGTGTCCGATCGGTAACGTTTCCCACAATCCCTCTCCCGCAGGCCTTCTTCGAGACGGCCAGCCTGATGAGCCAGGTCTCGCACATCCACCTGGTGTTCGTCCACGGGGTCTGCGTCAAGGGGTCCGAGAGTGAGTTTCCCCCCTTCCCCCATTTTCTCTTTTTCTTTGTTTTTTTGGGCTGTCAGTTTGTCCGGTCACTACCTGTTCTGAGTTAAAGTCCTTACCAGAGTGCAGTGGCATCTGACCAGAAATCTTCCTGGTTACCATGGCATTATGTTGACTATGTAACCCCCCCAGAATGGGATGCTTGTCAATTGCAGGGGTGATCACCCCCCCCCCCCCCGCTGGGTGCTGGGTGGACTGGAGCCCCTGGGGTGGGTGAAGTACCTCACTCCAGGTACAACAGGGGCTTGAACTTAAATTGGGTGACCTGAGCTTAGATCAGCATTGTAGGAAGAACACAGTCTTGATTTTATGCATTTTAACAAATATTTAATACTTAACATATGACTAGGTTATGAGTTTATCTCGGTGTCGGTACAAATGTTAAATTTGTCATGCTCTCATAATTAGTTAACTTTGTGCGTGAGACTTCAGAAATGCATCAGTGTGTTTCCTAATCTCGGCATTTATTTGGGCTCTTCAGCTGGTATGCCAAAACAGAAGCTTTTGAATGAGTAACGTAGTTTTCTTTGTTGGTGGGTTTAATCGTCAGACTGCGGCTGACCTGTGCTGCTCTCGTCCCGCTCAGATATCATGGTGGAGGAGTTCGTGGAGTTCGGGCCTCTGGACGTCTTTCTCCGGAAGGAGAAGAGGAAGGTGACGCCGCAGTGGAAATTCACGGTGGCCAAGCAGCTGGCCAGCGCGCTCAGCTACTTGGTGAGTGCAGGCCCAGGGACTGGGCACTACTCTTTCCTTCGGCAGGGTAGAAGGTGCATCTCTTGTCTCTTGGTTGAGGACTAAAGGTATCCGTTAAATATAAGGAGCTGCCAGTTTTTTTCCCCATGCTTTACTTTGCCACTGAAATCAATCTCATTTACAATGTCTGCCTGCAAGACGGCGACCAGTTAGCTCAGTTGGGTTGGAAACGGCAGCTGATGACTCCCAGTTCGCAGATTCAATCCCTGATTCTTATTCCTGGGTGGTGGGGAGTGTGGAACAGGGTGCCCAATCATGTTGAAGCCAAAAGTCTGGCTTCTGTCCAGAAACAGCTGGAGGGAGGTCCTCCAGTCAGGACAGCAGACACTTCTTTACACAGAGGGTGGCGGGAGTGTGGAGCCAAGCTGCCCAGCCACGCTGTTGAAGCCAATACTCTGGTTACTTTCAAGAAACAACTGGATGAGAGCCTCTGATCAATACCAACCAGCCAGGTGGGCCTAATGGCCTCTTTTTTTGGACCTCTCCTCAGTTCTTCCTCAGTCCAGGCAAAGTGCCTTGCTCAGACATTCAGCAAAGGGGTTCGAACCCACAGCCTTCCTGTTGCGTCTCCAGCACTTGACCTGACCTCGGCCCTTCTTTCCGTGTGTGTTTTTTCCTGCTGTCAGGAAGGACTAGGTGGCTCGAGTCCTTCTTAAAAGCGGAGTCTTCACTGCATGCACATGTTTGAGTTCTGCCTGGCCTGATCGTGTTCATGATCTTTTTCTGTCCATAGGGGTTGTGGTAATTCCGGGTGGGGGTGGGGGGGGGAGTACAAAAAGGCACCCTGGGTGAGAGATTGTTGCACAGATCCCCTTTGGATAAACACACCCACCTCAAAACCGTCTCTGGGATTTTGTTAAAGACCTTGCCCGGTTGCTTAACGAACGAACACGCAGATCTGTTTCCTCGTCCCCCGCAGGAGAACAAGAGGCTCGTTCATGGCAACGTCTGCGCCAAAAACATCCTGGTGGCCAGGAGAGGGCTGGAGGGAGGCTCGTCCCCCTTCGTCAAGCTGAGCGACCCGGGCATCAGCTTCACCGCGCTCTCCAGGGCAGGTACGCCCGCCGACGGGGGGGGGGGAGGGGCAGCCACAGGAAACCTGCTCTAGCGGATTGTTTCCTGCCTCGTTTCCTGTTGTCTGTCTGGCCTTGAGGCTTAGAACACTACCAACGCCAAGGCTTGTTTTCTTCTTTAATCCCTCGTGAACGCCTATTCATGAGAAGGGCTTTAGAGAAGATTAAATAGTAGAATTCCGCTTTTCATTCCTGTTGCGTTAGTAGCGGGATCGTGTAGTGCCCACAGGCTGATATTACTGTTGCACGTCGGGACCCTTTTTCTCTCTGAGGGCTTCTGCCAAATCCGACATGTCGAGGTCCGATCCGCCACATCGAAGTCCCCGTTCTTCCTGTTCCGTTACCCGCAGCAACCAGACTTGTTTTTGATGCGTGGCCGGGTTGTGGAGAGCAGCCGCACAAACCCAGCCGTTAGTTTATCCCCTTGTTAGGGCAGTGCTGTGCGTGTTGAAACGTGCCGTAAAGACGGGGCGCACAGTTCAAAGTCTCCCACAGAGGTATTGCCTAGGTAGCATTGACTCAACAAACAACTTGACAGGATCCTGTACGTAATTACAGCGTTCCCATCTCTGCAGTGAGGCCCCGAGCCGCGTGTTGGGTAGTAACCTGCGTGCTGGCACGTTTTCCCTTATGCTGTTGAAGAGTACAAAAAGGCCGCCTTCTTTGAACTGCCAAGTGAAGTGAACCGGTGAACCGCGAGGCTGTCGTTGCGTGTCTTCTGTGGCTGTTCTGTGCCTGCACGCCACAGGGGTAGCTGGCACACTTTCGCAAGGGTGGGCATGCCACTGCGGGGTGTGTCTGTGTTTGAGCAGGTGCCCTGTGCATGAGCGAGAGATCTGTGCAGCAGGTTCAGAGCATAGTTTAAGAAAGAAGTTCAGTTACTCTTACTGAACAACATGATTGGAGATTTTGGGTGCCCATGTTAAAGTCCTGCCTTTTAAAAACCTCCCATTATGATAATCTGAATGCTCACGTTAAAGGTTACAATAACCTTTCCCCCGCCACTTGTGTAGCACAAGAGCTTTTTCTTATGTAATATGGATGACATAAATGTTATCTGAAAAGTGGTTTAGCCTCTTGATGCGAATCCTTGTGTCCAGATTCTCTGTGAATGTGTTAATGCCAAAAGAAAAAGCAGACTTGACTACAGCTGCCTTCTGAGAGCAGTCACAGCATTCAAGGGTGGTGTCGCATTTCTTTGAAAAATCAGAGAATTCAGACCTGGGAGGTCTGGCGCAGCGGAATGCCGAGATCCCGCCCTGGTTTTTTTTTTTGTCCAGCGCGATGAATATTCCGAAGGGTAAAACAGGGCTGAATAGCCGTGTGAGCCTTTCATTTAACAAGTCGTTAAACGTTTACACGTGAACCCGTCACCTCCTGCCTAATCTTTCACCCTGGCTGGCTGTTCCTGTGGCGGGTTCCCTGAACAGTGAGTTCTCGAGAGTGTGGTTGAGCTCTTCTCATAGGTCATCTAGCAGTTTCAGCACCACATCCGTTTCTGAAAAGGTCAGGAAGCCTTTGATGTAGCGGAGCACCGGAAAGTGCAGCCTTTCAGTTGATGGTGAATGGGTGCTTTTCGCACTCTGTGTTCCAGTGCTGATCCGGAGCTGTAAGCCCAGCTATGAAGCAAAAACAAGTCCCATTATTACACACGCAATTCTTTTGGTTAAATCAGAGCGACCGGAAAATCAGTTTTTTAGTTCTCTTAGTTTGCATGTGGGCCTGTTCTAGTTCTCCTGCAGTAAAAGGCATTTTACTTAAAAAGATGTTCTCAGCTCCTCTGCAGCCCTAATGGGTGAAAATTAAGGTCTCCCTCCAATATTTATTGGTTCTGCCCTGGAATCTCTGCAATGGCTTCCAGTTAAATTTTCTGCGGGTTTTACGATTTTACTTTTGATTTTTAAAGGCACAAATGACACCTCTAATGTCTACTGATACGAGACACGCAGTAGGGACTAATGTTCCCACAGTCATAGGCCAAGGAAAGCCATTCCAGAAAAGAAATCCGGGATTCCTTGCCTCCTTTCATGTCACTCCTTGCACGCACTCTGTAAAGCGTCATTTGCTGGGAACAGCCCGTTCTTGTAGGACTGGGCTCTCCCAGTACCAATCTCCTCACTGATCAGGACTCTGACACTCCCAGCCCGCAGAGCCCTTGGGTGCTTCTGGGCGTGACGGGAGTTGGCACCAACTGGAAGATCGGCTCATCTCTGCATCTTTGCGGCACGCCTGAGGGCAGCCAGCAAGCTGCAGGAGAAAGGGCCGGAGGAGAGTACCCTGGCCGTCTAATTCCAGTCCTACCCTGGTGGCGCTGTGGTGCAGGTGGTTAGGGAGGGGACCCGGCTCGAACCCGCAACCATCTGGGCCGCACAGTGCAACCCAAATTCCGTGCACGTGCCTTTACTGGTTGAGTCACTGCTCTTCCCATTTACTGTCTTTCCGATTCAGCTAAATCAGCTGTTTTGAATAAAAAGAGAGTCTTTATTAAAAATATGAAAGTCTGGCATAGAATTTCCTGGACCAGTTTATCCCAGATCAGTTTTTATTGAAAGATTGTAGTGCCACCCAGCCTGACACATCTCCATTTTTACAACAGCCAGCCTCTGAAAGAGGCCCATTGTCCTGTTAACTCGGGGGCCATCCAGGCTTTTCACGAACAAAGCAGGCAGTGTTGCCCTAGTGGTGATATTTGAAACCCTATGGAAATCACTGGGCTTCTTTGAGGTCCGAAAGCACACATTTTACTATTGGAGCAACGGGCGGGATAAGGTTTTAGTTCCTTATAGATTGAACCCCTCCTGTTGAACCAGTTGGTGCAGGTGTCGAGGAGGAACAGGCAATTCCTAAAGCTCGGCCATTTGCTTAAGTCATTGTTCTGGGTCCTGTGTTAAATTTCTGTTTGCCATTGTGCGAACAAGTTTTTTATGCATTAAAAAGCTCTTTAATATCCGTTATCCCCAAAAAGGGTAGCGTTTGGAAAAGCTATAGCATGGTTTTGCGAAGGCATCTTGGTTTTCAAGGATCGGGCCTCTTGCATGCAAGTCAGGCAGATTCAGAACTGAGAACTGAACATGTGATGTTTGTTGTGCATTTGTTCCATCGTCCCTGCCAGCGTGAGAATCAGATTAGCAAGTGCTCCGATAGGGAATGCTGTTATTTAAAGCAAGGAAGGATACCTGTGGAGAATCCTTGGTTTGCAGGCTTCGCACACAAAAAAACGATTCCTGCTGAGTGCTGAATTCATTCTAGCTCAGTAAAGGATTAGTGCATTGCACCTGAATGTTATAACGTAGTAATAATCTTCCTCCCCAGAGCTCGTGGAGCGCATTCCCTGGATCGCGCCAGAGTGCGTGCAAAACGTCAGCCGCCTGGGGATCGCGGCAGACAAGTGGAGCTTCGGGACCACTCTCCTGGAGATCTGCTACAACGGGGACCTGCCCATGAACGAGAGCACTCTCAACGAGGTGCGCGGCTCTCCGGCTGCTCTGCGCTGTGTCCTGCAGCTGTCTCGCCAGCAGCCATGCGCCCTGTAAACACACGGCTCGGGCGAATTAAAGCGCGCAGCCGTTAAAGAACTAAAACTTCGGCTTTTCTCTAGGCCGCATCGTCTGCACCAGGCCCTGCATCACACGCGTGGTCAAGCACTCCCAGTGGACATTCCCTTATTTTCTTCAGGAATGCTGGAAGTGCCTAGAATCAGTTAAATGCGTGAGGGGACATCCATAATAAATCCAAAGCGATGATGTATATAACGCATCCGTGACATCATGTTTCACTGATTCCACGTCTGTGGGATGGAGAAATTCCCCAGGGAGTAGACGGAGCCGTGGAGGTGCTCTGTGTCCTGTGCCCGCTGCTGTCAGAAGACGCGTTAGCTGTACGGTCCGGGGCTCTCATCGTTCTGCGTCAGGCTCAGCGCACCTCCTCCAGATATTCAATTCAGTTCAATTAAAGCTGTATTGTCCCCTTGGGGAAATTTGATTCTCCTCTGAAGCCTTCAGTTGGTCCCCCTCGCTGCATTTGGAGTTTCAGATACAGTAGCGTGCAGGTGCTGAAATTTGCATGTTTCTGATGTTGCAGAAAATCATTCCATCTCTTTTTCTTATCCCCCACTCTGCAGAAGGAGCGGTTTTATGAAACCAGGTCCCACCTGCCAGAGCCGTCCTCCAAGGAGCTGGCCAGCTTCATCAGCAAGTGTCTGAACTACGACCCTGCCGAGCGGCCCTCCTTCAGGGCCATCCTCCGCGAGATCACCGAGCTGCAGCAGAAGAGTGAGTCTCCTCCTCCCCTGATCCAGAAGGCCCGCGCTAGGAAACCGCTGGGGCGTGCACAGCACCCGGCACAAAAGGGAGCAGGCACAAACTGCAGAGCTGCGAGTGCGGCTCATGCAGAATAAGAATACAGAATGCTGCATCGTGCCGTGTCCTTTGTCTTTCACAGACCCCGACATCTCCTCCAAGTGCGACGTCCTGCCCGACGCCGACCCCACGGTTTTCCTGAAACGGTATCTGAAGAAGATAAGAGACTTGGGCGAGGTATGTTTCCGGCTGGCCCGTCAGAAGGAGTAGGGCAGAAGCCGGTCTGGTGAAGGAGACAGATACGGGGCGTTTTTTCCCCAGTATGAAAACCGAACTCGGCACGGCTCCCCCTCCAGGACAGTTCAGTCCTGGGGACCCCCCCTCCCCCACCACAACTCTCTGACCAGCACAGGCACCAGATCCTTCGGCCGATGGTCCCCCACTGCTGCTGCCCCTGGCAGATGAGGCAGACCCCCCCCCGTCCTTGTTTCCACCTGCAGCTGGGTGCTGTGAGCACACGCAGTGCCGCTCCGAGCTGAAAGGAAGAACCAGCACCTGCACTGGCTGCTGACTAACATTGTGCAAAGGGAATGTGATTCCTTGGCTCTCTTGACCGCACTGTGTAAACGTAAATGCAAGCACAAGACCGATGATGATATAAAATTGCTGGCACTGTTTCCAGACCCTTTATAATGGATGTCCCATAGTGCATCATAAAATGCTGTTTTATTGCTCATTGGAGACCACAGACAGCAAATCTAGGTGTTCAAATTCCTCTGTGTATTCTTATACATCTTATTGAGCTTAATGTTCTCTTCTACAGCCAAATCTGGAATTGCTTGACAGAACATATTCACCTGGATCCCAGATTCTAATAGAAATCGAGTTAATACATGGTGAAAATTCGGACTTAAAAGAGCTCGAAAGCAGTGCAGTGCAAGGTGGAAATGGGGAAACTGGGCGCTGACGTTGCTGCGGACGCGCTGATGGTCATCTGTGAAGACGCGCTTGCTTGAACCCGGGCTGCTCTCTGACTCTTGCAGGGCCACTTCGGGAAGGTGACGCTGTACGTGTACGACCCCAGCAACGACGGCACGGGGGAGTACGTGGCGGTCAAGTCCCTGAAGCAGGACTGCAGCAGCCAGCTCCAAGCCAGCTGGATCCGGGAGATCACCATCCTCAAGTCCCTCTACCACAGGAACATCGTCAAGTACAAAGGCTGCTGCAGCGAGCTGGGTGTGTCTCCGGTCTCCCTCTCCCTCGCCGTCAGTGTCCGCTTGCTTCTCGCAGAGCTTAATCGGACCTGGAACCTGTAGAGATGTTACGTTCGGCCCCCAAAATGGTTAACTTTGCTTTAGTGCAATCCAGGCATTCGGAGAAAGACTGGCACGGAGGCCGAGCTTCTTTTCCGTCGGCAGCACCACGTGCATCCTGGTCTGCCTCTTTGAAACCTGGCGATGAACAGAACTGAGAGATTTCAGTCAGCTTGAGGGCATATTGTTCTGTTCATGTTTTTAAAGATCATCCCATTTACTGCATCATGTATGAGGAGAGCATTCTGATTTGTGTTTTTGGGGGCTGGGGGGTGGGCCTTCATTGTATGGGATACTTGCGTTTTTCCTGTTCTGGTTGGTTGCATGCAGTGGACACTTGGAAAGCCTTGTCCTTATCCATGTGCTGTGTTTTTGTAACAGGCTGCAGCCATCCCTCTGCACACTGTCACTTTTGCACTGCCTTCTCCAAAACATGTATGAGATATGTTTGAGTTTAACTGCAGTGTAGTGCAGTGCTCAGAGGTCTGGACTCGTAACTGGAAGGTTGTGGGTTCAAATCTCAAATGAGACGCTACAAGTATTTCACCTGCATTGTTCCAATAGAATACCCAGCTATGTAAGTAAGTTAGTTTGGGATAAAAGCATCAACAAAAGAAATTGGTAGGTGGTGTATTGAGGAGGATTATAACTCTTACAAAAATGCGTGGATTAGAGAGTGCAGCACCTCATTACGCCCTTCAGAGCTCCGATCTGACGCCTGTTGTTCGTCTGCGTGCCAGGGGGTCAGGTCGTGCAGCTCATCATGGAGTACCTGCCCTTGGGGAGCCTCCGAGACTACCTGCCCAAGCACCGCGTGGGCATCGTGCAAATCCTGCTCTTCGCCCAGCAGATCTGCGAGGTAAGGCCCGCGTGTGCCGGCGGTGGACTGCAGCTCTCGCGTTCGGGGAAGCCCACAAGAGAGCTGCTCATTGTTCAGCGGCATGTTGACCCGACGATCTCAGCCCGCGGTTTCTTGAAGGAACCAGGGTGGCGACTTCTGACCAGCCTGGCTGTGCGGCTTGTTGGAGACGCCCACAGCGCATTGTGTCAAGTGCTTCCTGTTGTCGGACTTCAGTCTGCTTGCCCTTAGTTTCCATTTGTGTCCTCTGGTTCCTGTTGTGGTAATGACATCTGCAGACTTGACTTGGGCAGTGGCCTTTGGGGGATTTTTTAAATCTTTGGATCAGTGTGTCTTGTAATCTTTTGTGTTTCAGATTAAAAAAAAGAAAATAAACTGTCAGTCCAGGGTGCTCCATTTAAGTGTAGGAATGTACCTAACTCTTGCAGGTGAAGTTTTTTTTTTATTAGGGAGCATCTAAAATTGTACACAGTATAGTACAATTTTTAACTTCCCTTTGCTTAAATTCAGCACTTTTAGTTGTACATCCTAGATTGCTTTAAATTTCCACAAAGGCTCCAGTCCTGCATGTTTTATGATTCTTTAAGATATGGTAAGCAGGTTATAAACTGTCTCAGATAAAACCGTAATTAGGGCAAATGTGTGCTTAAATTTAGATGTAACAAAGGCCGGTCAGCCATACAGCATTAATATTTACATACTGTCTGTCTCTCAGGCTTGGCAGCTATTTGTATTTATAAACGGTTCAAACTGTTGTGCATTTGTTCTCTGCAGTTCATCCAGATGAAACGTGTCACTCACACCTGTACTAACTGCCAGCCATTCAGTTAATCTTGTTCATGACTCTTCTATTGTAGCCATCCCAGTTGTTCCAGGTCAGAACGGTTTCCTCTGAGAGCTGTTCTTCAAATTCAAGCTCCGCCTGCTCCCGGCCTTTTCAAACTGTGTAAAACTACCCCCTTCAAAGCCAGAGAACAGCAGTTCTCCCCCCTAGATCTTAGTGTATAAAGAGAGGGGTATCTCCAGTGAACGTTTATGTTGGTCTGCTTGAGTGTGAATTTTAAAACAGCTGCAGAATTGGACTGTAAGACAAAAAAGGCTGGATGTTTGGATGCATCCATTTTATACCAGAACATTGAGGAAATAGAAAACATGTAGGCTGTTGAATTTTATTAGTCTTTGTTGGCAGCACTTTCATGAGTTCAGTTATGGTAATTGTGGATAATTATGCAGTGATCTACTTAATTATGAGGTCAATTATACCAGCGGTCCTTGGCCTGGAGATTTTGTTGTGCCTTGTTAAGGTAGATTTGGAAGTGTTCATTAGCTCCTCTTGCTCCCTGCCCCGGGCAGCTGTGGGGGAAAAATTTCCGAAAAATAATTCTGCTACCTGCCAGCAGCAAGCAGGGTTCTTCTCATGTGACTTGATGCGAGCGCATTGAGGACAATCATGAAGAACGTCTTCAGTGTTTGGGAGCAGTATGCAAATGAAGAATGAAATGGCGTTAATCATATCGTCCTGATCAGCTCCCTGATAGCCACCTCATGTTTCCCTGAAAATATTTACTGCATGTCTAGGTCTTTCGCTTTCTTTCGCCACCTCTGCAGTGACTTTTTAGTGATCTTTGCATTCTAAGTAGACACGCCTCAGTGTTCCTCTAAATGAAAGAATTCTGCCTTTAAGAAGAGGCTGAAGCAGACTGCCTGGATTCTTTAAGGACTGCCTGAACGTTACCCGGGAGGAAGCGAGCCTGATAGGAAAGTCATAGGTGCCTTGCTCCCTTCGTTACCAGTGCCCTGGAGGAACTGTTTTCGTTGGCTTTTAGGTTTAGAATGCTTTCTGCTATTCTTTCTTTATGATGATGCAACACCTGTTTATGACGCAATTCATTTTTAATTGATTTTAGGCCTTTCACAGTGCCTCATCTGAAGGCTCTTGACAATAAAGCAAAGCAGACATGCGCAGAGCTCCTGCTCAAGTAATGACTTAAGTAGCAAACGCGAGACGGGGTTAGGTATCTGGAGGAATGCAATGCAAGTTACACTTGTGAGTCTATCAGCTGTTCAGGTAAAATTAAGAAGAGCTGGCTCCCGGGAGTACCAGCTGTACCTATACTAGACCAGGGGGCCTCTCTAGGCGGCAGGATGTTTTTCCAATTAGCCTCCCAGGCAGATGGGAGACATGAACACACCTGGGCGTTAGTGCCACTGCCTGTGGGCTGAGGTCCTGTTCTCAAGTACGTCAGCAGACACTGCACACCCGCAGCACTCTGAAATGAGGAAGAGGCAGCTTGCAAAATGAATTCACAGTAAGATGAGTAAAGGGATAAGCGTGCAGAAGGTCATCGGGGAACTTCACAGCCCCAGAGAGCCCCTTCCATGTTAATCCCTGTCGGATTTCTGCTCCCTTCCCCAGGGAATGGATTACCTGCACTCGAAGCGCTACATCCACAGGGACCTGGCGGCCAGGAACGTCCTGGTGGAGAATGAGACCGTGGTGAAGATCGGGGACTTCGGCCTGAGCAAGTACATCCCGGAGGGGGACGTTTACTACCGGGTGAAGGAGGACGGCGACAGTCCCGTGTTCTGGTACGCACCCCGGAGGGGGCCTGCTCTCTCGGGCCCAGGAGGAGCCATGGTCTCGGTCCAAAGTGGGCGATCACTGGGTCAGCAGGTTCGCTAGGTGTCCTCCAAGCAGCAGCCCCCGAAAAGCGGGGAGCAGCTGTTGAATTGGTGCCATTGAGCTAATAACACGCTGATTGAGCTTGTTTGGAGAGATGAGCTGGAACGAAACCCTGCAGTCTCTTCTGCCCCCCAGGACCTGGAGTGCCCATGCCTGGTGTATAGATTTTAATTCTATCGAGACATCAAGCATAGTTCAGAATGATCGCAGTGTGTCCAGCTCTGCTACGTGTCTTGGGAATCTTGTCCATGCTCGGACAGTTCTGTCACACAGGGCAGTTTTGTGTAACACAAGGGGCACTAAGATTCCCCTGTGCGCTACTTTTACAAGTATTGCTAAGAGAAATGTTACTTCTCTGATTAAATTAAAACAGTTAAAGCTTTAGTTTTCTCTGTAGCGGTGCCGGGAGGAATCTCCACTGCTTGTATTTGTCGTCTTCCACTGACTGAGACGAGAAAAATTCCTGAAAGGGAATCGTTCACGTGAGGTGTGGCCTGTTTGAAAGTTATGCTTTTCAGGCAATGTGCCATCGCGTGCAGGCAGAGCATTTGCTAATTTCACTGAAAGAGATGCCAATCCCAGGTTACTGAAACTTCCTCCTGGCCTCACCGTCTCCCCCTGCTGGTGTGTGTCGCCATCATAGGCCCCATTTCCAAAGGACCAGTAGCAGTCTCCTCCTGGTTCAGGTTACAGGTCCAGTCCAGGAGAAAGCTGCAGCTGTCTCACAGTTTCTCTATCAGATCAACGATGGGGGGGGGGGATAGTCTTGCAACGTCACGAGCCTTTGTGTCTGTTCTAGGGTGTTTCCCAGCTTGCTGTGACTCACCTCCCAGTTCTCAATCTGCGGTGCAGTCTCAAGCCAGCCATTTGCTTCTCGCTGTCTCAGTTCTGTCCTGCGAGGTTTTAACTGGTTCTCACTTCCTCAGCAAGCGTTAACACACACTGAAGCGAGCAGCGGGCTATTGGCAGCGGGCACTTCTAGCTTGCTGTAGCAATAATCACAGTTTTTGTTGGGGTATTTAAAGTTTTGAATAGCGAAAGCAACATTATGACCCAGTACCTTTCCTTTTACAAAGCTGTTAATGACATCCAGTAGGTTGCTAGTTACAAATGTGTCCGTTGAAGTAAAACTGTTTTTATTCTCCGATCATTATAATTGATGACGGCACATGGGTGAGCATTGTATGACATTCAGTTAGACACAGGGGGGATAAACGGCGGTAGTAAGCCCTGTCTCACAGCTCAGAGCGCTTGGAGGGAGGAGGGCAGGCCGGAGGAAGAGAGCAGAGCTGCAGTGATCTGACCAGTCAAGTAATCAGGAGCGCCACTGCCTTGATCCAGCGCTGCACCGCTGAGGGACGACTTACCGCCCTGTCCTTCTCCAGCGGCGCGATTTTTGTTGGCTTTCTGGGAGCTTGAGGATTTGAACAATGTTGGTCTCGTTTTTTTTTTTTAAAGGGCTGTGCGCTTGCCTGCGCAGCCTGGGTGTGCGTCTCCCGAATGTACTCACAGCTGCGGTTTAAGAGCGTGTGGAGAATGGCTCTGCATAGCTCCTGAACTGAGTCCGCAGCTGGAGCTGGGCAAAAAAGACTGCAGGACATGGGGGGGAATCAGTTGATTTTGATGGGGGGGCAGGCCTCGGTTCTGACTGCGCCCCTATGTTTCTGGCGTGTGCTCTGCGGGGTTGCACTGGGGCAGCACTGCCTGCTCCTTACCCTCGTGCTGTCTGTTGTTTTTAATCAACGCCCGATCCCTGTGCTTCGCAGGTATGCCATCGAGTGCCTGAAGGAGAGCAAGTTCTCCTTCGCGTCGGACGTGTGGTCATTCGGGGTCAGCCTGTACGAGCTCCTGACGTACTGCGATAACCGGCAGAGTCCCCCGACGGTAGGTGGGCGGTGTGGGGCGGGGGCACGAGGTGACGAGAGTGCAGATCGGCTTGCGTCTTGACCGTGCGGCCCAGAGCTCCCACCAGAGTCGGCAGGCTGCTCTCGTCTTCGGCGATCTGAGCCTCACCTGCACCCGTCCTCGGGCCCTGACATCACTGGACGGCATCGTGAATAATTAGACACTTCGAGTCATTGTTGTACATTACCACTATCGCAGAGATCCCTTCCCCTGTGCCTCCTGGGTGACTGTAAATGTGTTGAAACTGAAGTGTTGGTTCATTCATGCCTCAGACAGGTAACAGGAAAGGAAGCCGTGATGTATTTGCCGCGATAGTTTTAATGCAGAAACCCTTCTCCAACCACACCTTGGGTCACTAGCACAGGGCTCAGTACATCCGGTATTGAAAAGTCTGGATTCAGTCTAAGTGGTTAACCTCTGTGTTAGCCGGGTGTTAGGGCCTGGGGCGATGTTCCCTTACTTCTGCTTCTTCATTGCATACACTTATATAGTGCTTTTCTGGACACTCCACTCAATTACTGGTAATTGGGAATCCCCACCACCACCAGTGTGCAGCATCCACCTGGATAATAATGTTTAATTTAAACCGCTCCCTTAACATGTTGGAGCTTTAGCCGTCGTATTTTGCGAGTGACATAAAATCCCAAACACCGTGAGGAGAAACAAACTGCAAATGGTTCCATTGCAGCAGCTTCTTGGATGAAGTAAGGCTCCAGTTAGCGAATGAAGGTGGGCTGGAATGAAAACCAGCAGGAGTGGGGACTGGGAACCCCCGCTTTAACGATCCTGGCACAGCAGGGTGGCCTCTTCCCTCTTCCTGCTCTCACACTGCCGAGCGAGTCTTGACGTTGTTCTCCCCGATTTCTCCTCGTGCCCACAGAAGTTCTTTGAGATGATCGGGGCGGTGCAGGGCCAGATGACGGTGATGAAGCTCATCGAGCTGCTGGAGAGGCGGAGGCGCCTGCCCTGCCCGAAGGACTGCCCGCATGAGGTGAGCCCTTAACGCACTGTTCCTGTGCACCCCGAAACCCCCGGACAAGAACCTGCCTACAAATGGCACCCTTAAACCTGACATGGAGTTGTTACTGCAGTAATATGTTGCTGTATGGTCAGAGCCAGCCTGTGCCATTTGGTTATTGAGCTGCCGTTTCTGGGGTTGGATTAGACCCCAAGATCCTACATCCTGGTTTGCTGGCAAGCCTGCTTTTCTGCACTATGTCGCCACCTGTTGTTCAAAAGTCAGAAGTGGTGTTGTCATTGTGTTTTCCAGCAGGTGGCATTCTAGCCTTGAAGTCCACTCTATAACAAAAGAAGAAGAAAAGGCTCACTTTTAACAGCCCAAAGATGCGCCACTGGCACATAGAGGTCATTTGAAATGGAAACGTGTAGCTTAAATCGCAACCTCTGTTTGACCTTTAATGGGTGTCTGGACGTTCTGGGGAAAAAAGCTCAGTTTTTCTGCTGTAGTGTTACTTTTAAATGTTGACTTGATCAATTGTGGATGACCTTTTCTTGTTGCTGTTGTCGCAACCCCAGGTCTACGCAGTGATCGAGAAGTGCTGGGAGAGCGAGCCCTCCAGACGACCGTCTTTCAGAGACCTGATCGCCTCTATTGAAGAGATAGTCCGGACTTACCAGCAGCAGCCTACCGTCAAGCTGAACCTCATCAGCCAGCCCTGAGGCCCGGACATCGCCGAGAACAGGCCTCCTTCCCCGTGATCCCTGCCCCCGGAGTCCGTCCTGTCCTGAAGGAACTGTCGCCTGCCATAGGCCCACCGAGGAACGAGCTGGCAAAAGAAACCGGGACACCAGAGGATTTTCCTTCTTATTGTGCGCCCGCCAGTTCCTTTCCTGTCCTTGCTGTGGTTTGTTTGTTCCCGGTCTGGCGAGAAGCGTTCTAGGATGTTGACCTGGAATCTTGCAGTGGAATCCAAACCCTTCCTGGTTTCTGTTGGTACAGGAGGATGAAGAGGGAACCACATTTCACTCTGGATGTTTTCTTTCCCCATGTCGGGGGGATTATAAACTGGGCCCAAGGTTCACCTGTGAGTTGCTCCATCTGCTTGAACCCTGAGGGGGTGGGCAAGGGAGGCTGCGGAAGGAGAAATTTGTTCTGGGAATCGTGCACCACTGGCGACTGGGAAGTAACCCTGCGTAGTTCGGATCCTTTAAGCCAGATTTGCTTTGTCGTTTTTAAGGACCGGATGTTCTGTGACTCTTAACGGGACTGTTTTAAACCTAGCTGAGCTCACTCCTTAGCGCACTCAACACACAGCATACAAGCTATTAAATGAACCCAACACTTATTCCTCGTATTGTACGTTGTATATATTTCGTAAGCAGGATATATATGTAAATATATAAATATGTAATGTGGTGCCACTTTAAAGTAGCCGTTGCCGTCTACGATAATGTGCATATATCTATACGAAATCCAGGGCCTAAAATGATTGTGGTTTAGTCACCCCTGTCTGATAGAGCGATGTTCTATCGTTTGCCGATTTCTCCATTAAAGCAGTTGACGAAGACCTGTACGACAGAAACTGCGTCATTAGTAAATGAGATTTTAGATTCAGCTTTTTTGCCTGTCTGCCGCCCAGTTTGAGCTTGTTCTCTTGTGGTGTTTTGAATCGGAGTCATCTCTTGTTGTGACAATAAGAGAGGTGGCTTGTGCCTCATGTTACAGAATGCCAGCCATCATACCAAGGCCAAAGAGTTGTTTTTTAAAACGTTGTGTACCAACTTTTTAAAAGAACAACACTTACTAAATGATAGTTTGGTTCCCAAAATCGTGGTAAATGGCCACACTCTTGATGTTAAAATAAATGTGGCTGCCAGCGTGCCTTAATAACCAGTTTGAAGAAAAGGCAGAGTTGTATTTTCAGGCTCCTAACAGCCTTTCAGTCCCGTCACTAAAAGAAAGTGGATGAATTAAAACCAGTTGAAACAGCGGTAAATCTTACTTTGCAGCTGACGTGTTCTAATGGGCTTGAAGGAAGCAGTGTGGCACAGTCGTTAGGGATCCAGACTCGTAACTGAGGTTGCGGGTTCAAGTCCCTGGTGAGACACTGCTGTCTGTACCCTTGAGCAGGGTACTTCGCCGGCATTACTCCAGGAAGATACTCAGCTGTCTTAAGGAGTATAAACGTATGGAGCTTTGGACAAAAGCATCAGCCAAGTATATTAATGTAAATGTAGATGAGCAGAATGGTTGCCTCTCATGTGTAGCTGTTCTTAAGACTGTTTAAGCAACACCTGCCAGTGTCAAAAAACGATAAAGGATTAGTTTAGAAACAGCGACATTGCTAAACTGCTTTTAAGGAAAAGAGGTGACTAAGCCATTCTTAACTGTACTACCTGAAGCTGTGAAGTTCCCCTTGTGGGCCCGGGAGTCTGGAACAGGTGGGAATTCTTCTTACTGTTGGCTGACGAGCAGCCTGGTGCACAGAAGGCAGATGGGGCTCTTAGTTTGCGAGCAAGCCGATTTTTTTTTTCAAAAGCAAAATACGAATTGCTTTTTGTTTTCCTGGTCCTCGCGGATGGGGACAGGTAGTTGGTTAAAGGAACTGATGGTGCTGCAGTAGTGCCCGGTCACGTCACAGATGACCGGCACCGCTGTCCCAGTGCCAGCAGGAGTGTCCGACGCTCTGCAGGCTGAGGTGACCGTGGCCAAAATTGACGAGACCCTCACGTTCTAGCTGCTGCCTGTCCATTTGGAGTCCTGACTGCCCATCCGCTTACGACAGACCAGCCCGGAGCCTGCGACCGCTGGACGAACCAGGCTGGGGTTTTTTGACCGTTTGGTACGGACTTAATGGTCGTCTTTGATATAAATCTGCCTGGTCAGATTGTAATTTAAGGGCTTGCTCGGCCTTTTAAACAGTCTGCTAGTTTTTTTTTCAGGATAAAAGGTAGCACTTGCTTAAAAAAAAAAAACAGCGTGCAAAAATGTCTATTGTTCACTTTGCTCAGGAAAAAAAAAAGAATAGATACCCATTGAGTTGATCCATTTATTTATTTTTTTGTTTGTCTTTGAATGTACAACTTCCACCAGATGAGTAATATTGTCCACAGTGAGTGAGACATGTCTCAGTTCTGAAGGATAATTGTCTTTATTCTTCCTCGGCTGGGGCTGGAAAGGAGAGACTGAAAGCTTGTCCTACTTTTTTCTTTTTGGATAGGAACCTTAGACTTGGGAAATCTATCTGGATGGAATGGGATGCTTTTAATTTCCAAACTACTTTCCCAGCATTCCAACAGGATGTCGGTCAATAGAGACAGTTTGAATGAAGTGTGAAGCACTTCAGCTTTCCTTCAGTTTTGAATGTCAAACCCAAAAGCCTACACATCATAATCCTCTGCAGTGTAGTATTTTTTCAACCAGAATGTGAGCTACTGATGAAAGAAAGCTTCTACAGTCAGAGATGGGTGACCTTCATCTCCAGCTGTTGAATACACATTAAATGTAAGGGTGTTTCTTATAGAAGCCGGAGTGGAAAATGTTTGCCTGTCTCCCTTTTGCAAAAAATCCACCAACTTAAGTGCCAGGAAATCATTGAATATGCATTAAAAGATCAATCTAAACATTGGTTGACAGGTGTGGGAATATGTACCTCAAAGGCTGTTTGAGAAATCAAGCTGGTGCAAAAATATAGTTTTATATAGTAGTTGTTTGACAATGAAGAAGAGGGTGGCTCACGCTATTTGGAGATTTAAGTGTCCCATACAGGATAAAGCACACTAAAAACATGTTTAAGTCTTTGCAGACAGGTAGGAGATTAACTGAAGTACTCTTTTTGCTTTAGAAGGGACAGTTCCAACTGCCTTAAAATCTCTCCAAGGCTGACTGTGCTCTTGCATCACACAACACTCTGTTAATTACACCTGGATCTGCAGTCAAATAATGTCATGTATTGTCTTTGTCTTAAAGCACTATAGTAATTAGACTTTAACAACTCATGTACATTTTTTTCCCTTTGTGTTCAAATTGAGCTGCATGTAATATTTCATATTACAATATCCCCTATGTATGAAAAATTAATAAAATTGTTGAACTGTATTTACATTTCTGATTCTATCTCTGCTACTCAGGTGTAATTCCCCTCCTTTTTCCTCATTTGCATTTACAGTGTATCTCAACCACACTTAAAACTGGGCAAAATCATGAGCTGGAACAGGATATGTCCTCTTAACAGGGCATGACAAGCCATCAGAATTGATTTTTACTGCGACTTCAATGCTCATACTCATTCAAGCCAAACGAGAAGTAGAATTGTTCATAACAACCCCCACCCCTCATTAATCAGGTTATTGGAAGCAAATGTAAATTTTGATGTATTGTTAATAAAAGCTTGAATAGCAACACAACAACAGGATTAAAGATAGAAGCATACAAGTTTCTGGCTGGTGTATTTTAGGTCTCTTAAAAATTTGCTGTTCCTCTCTGCCTGACCAGAGGGACTGCAGACATGAAAGGATCTATATACTGTAGCTGACATGAAGACAGACCCATTAGATGGGACCCACGGAGTATGGTCGTGTATATCCGGCTCGTACCACAAGTGTGTGGAACATGAGCGTCTGCCTGCTGCCCACATGTTCCTGAACACCCCAGGAGTTTCTGAGAACGAGAGGACTCTGACAATCCTGTTCACTGGGATTCTGCAGTGCTCTGGCAGACGCACATGACAAACGTTTCACGAAACGTGTTTTTTTTTTTGTGGGGGGGGGGGCTTTGAAAATGAAGTCGAAATCGATTCATCTGTAACGAATGAGTGAATTGTGGCTGAAGGTGACACTGTAGATAATTTAGGCAGATGTCCCCTTTTTTTTGCTGAAGGCAGTAGTTTTGGTGAATTTACAGATCCTTAGTCTTAGTAGTACAAATCAAGAGGCAGTTTCTTTATCAAATCGAGACTTGACTATGACTTGGACCCAGTCTGCAGAGTGAGCCGGGGTCTGACGGCGTTCTTATTAAATCTTTTTCATCAATTAAATATTTTCCTCCTGACCACAGCACTCGTGAACACGAACACACATTGTTATACTTTCTCAAGTTTTATAACTTTTTTTACATTGTTTTGATATATATTTTTTTGGTTTCTTTCAGTGCATTGTCTTCTGTGCAACAATGCTGTCACAACTACTTTACCAGTTTAAGTGGTTATTAAATAATCAAAGCCTGTTTTTTCCCAAGGGAATGGCACTGGGTGGCAAACGATTGCCTCTTTTACATTCTGAAAAGAATGCAAACGCAATATAAAAGAAACCGCCCTCACCCTATTTCCAGCATCATTCACAATAACCCGTCCATACAGGACAGGAGCGCCTCTAGAGAGAGCGAATCAAATAGCGGCATCTCACGTGACTTTCACCACGCCCCTTTTATGCGTGAACGGGGGGGGGACCCAAAGCAAGTCCTCTCATCCAATCAGCATCGCCCTTACTGCTTTGTCGCTGTTGTTTAAACTGCACCAATACAGCAGGCTGTTGCTGTTGCTAGATTGAAACCTTCCCAGTTCCCAGTGATGGCGGCCGCCGTGTCCGTTGGTGCCGCAGCCGGAGGAGACGAGAATCTGAACCTGGGGCCCATTTTGAAGTCCCCCTCGTCTTACGACTGCGACCCTGCCGCCGAAAATGAGGACTGGTTCCCCGGGGAAGGCGGAGGAGAGCCGGGAGAGGAGGAGAACACGGCGGGAGACGAAGGTCCGCGGGCTGCCGAGGAGGAGCTGTCCGTGCTCAGCCCCGAGGAGATCGCTGGCCGCCTGGACAGGACCCGCCGGGAGTTTTACAACCGCAGGAAAATCCTCATTAAAAACCTGCCACCCGACATCACGAATCAGGCAGGGTTTTGTTCACGCTTGCTTCGAACTTTCGTTTTTTTTTTCCCTAAATTTTTGTTTTCTTTACTGAGTTTACGAGTTAGGCTAGCGGGTTGGCATGATTGCTATGCGGTGCACGTCTGATCTTTTCATTCGGTTTTCCCGGTGTACCCTTAATGGGGAAACGTCGGTGCTTTGTAGGTAGTTGTTACGTCTGAGTTTATTTCAGGGAAGGTGACCGCAAGTTCAGGACTTAACCAGTTGTGTATACATAAAATAAAACACTGTTGGTTTTAAATGGGCAGTATGTGTGTTAGAGGTGTTAGTTTTACCTTGTCCAAGAGGCTGAAAAGATACGGATTTTACAGTCTCATCAGGCGCTCGTTGGATCCGTCTGTCGAACTGCGATCCGTGAGCTGTGGATACTTTCTATCCATAAAAATAAATGAGCAAGAGTGTTTGTCTACGAACAACATTTTAGCTATGTTATATTTCCTACCTTATCTTAAATATACCCTTGACATCTGTGAAGCCTTTTAAAATGTTGAGAACTAAATCTGGCGTAATCCTTCTTAATGAATAATTCTGGTTTAATCCGTGCATGTTAGTGTTTTTGTGACTTATGTTGTGTAAGACAAGCAGTTTATTCAGATGTCGGTTTTATTTGGAAATAAAATAATTCATTGCGCCCACACAGTGGCACTGAGGAACACCGGTTTCTACTGTCAAGTTACAGCAGACCTATGAAGTGAAAAGCAGTACAGTTTCAGAGTTGCTTAGGTTGCATTAATGATCCTGCTGTTAATGTAATGTAATGAGTTTTATGTAAATTGCCTGTTTCTCTGCTCTGTGATGCGCTGAGCTCTTCACGTGACACACGTTTTGTTGCCATAACATGACTTTCTGAACAGAGGGGTCAATAGGCGAGAACGCGTTTGCCTACTAGGACGCTGTACACATGAACAGAGTTCCAGATCGGGGCGTTTTGAGCCAGCCCTGATCAAAGAGTAGGCTACGTCCAGAAAGAGTAAAGAGAAAAAAAGACAGCGGTTTTACATTTGCAGTGAGAGAAGCTGCTGGATTTGCTTAGCGCTGTGAAAAGTGAACTTGCCCACAATGGGCAGACTGCATGCAGCACGGGTGAGCTGGACCCCTTTCTCCCTCTGTGAGGGAGAGAGCAAAGCGTGATGTCACCACAGTTGGCTGGGGGCACCTGTGGGGGGGCTCAAGAAAAGCAGGGGTTGTTCCCAGCCAGGAACAGCTCCCTGTTTTCCTCTTTCAGGGCTCGCTCCATTGGAAGAGTCCCCCCTTCTGTTCTTCACACCAAAGTGGTTCATTCTAATCACTCTGAGTTGATTTTTGGCTGACTGACAGTTTCTGGTTCTTCCCTTCAAAATGAATGTGAAATGCTGGGTGATATTGAGCGTGTGCATCTTAATAGCACTTTAATTTTATGCCTCATAAACATTTACTTAAGGAAATCTAAAAAATCTAGGAATAGATTAACAATAGGTAAATCACAGCCCAAAATACATAGCTATTCCAGTGTGGCATCCTCTCAGGATTATTAATGCCTAAGTTAACGAACAACTTTAAATGGTTTGATAGAGCAGTAATGTTTATTGCATCCTTTTGGTATTTTTTTGGCAGGAGGTCCATGATCTTTTGAGTGACTATGACTTAAAGTACTGCTTTGTAGACAAATACAAAGGAACAGGTGAGTACCTTTTAAAAGACTTGTATTCCCCACCTCCTGTAAGCTTTTGCCCTGTATGAAAGGCTGTATTAAATTGAAGTCATAGGAGGCATCTCCTTTCAGAGAAACCTTTTATTCTTAGTTTAGGGCCTTGCTTAGGGTCTTAATGGGTTTCCAGCATTTTCACCTGAAAAAGAAACTAGCGGTTTATTATTTCTAGTTAGTCACCATATGGCTCTGTGTTGATTTGGATGCTTTGAAATAAGATGGAACCATAGAAGCTGACGTCCAGGGTAATGGAAGACCAGAGACCCAGTGATGTTTCAAAACCAGGGCTGAGAATTTCTGCCCTGTTCAGCGATTGTCAGCACTGTTGGGCCTCCCAGGGTGGGTCTTTGGATTGAGAACCAGTCCCGAGAGGAATGGTAGGGGTGTCCTGCTGCTGTTGGCAGGGATCAGCCTGAGTGTTTTAACCTTTGCCTTCTGTTATTCTTGCCACTCCTAGCCTTTGTGACTCTGCTGAACGGTGAACAAGCCAAGTCTGCCATAAAGGAGTACCACCAGTATTCCCTCCGCGACCGGGATATCTCCGTGCAGCTGCAGCCCACGGACGCCCTGCTGTGCATCGCCAACCTGCCCCTGTCCTTCACCCAGCAGCAGTTCGAGGAGCTGGTCCGCCCCTTCGGCAACCTGGAGCGCTGCTTCCTGGTGTACAGCGAGAGCACGGGCCAGTCCAAGGGCTACGGCTTCGTGGAGTACATGAAGAAGGACTCGGCCGCCCGGGCCAAGTCCGAGCTCCTGGGCAAGCAGCTGGGCACGCGCATGCTGTACGTCCACTGGACCGAGGTGAACTCCCTCACCTACCCACTGCTGCACTCTCGCTGCCTCTGCGTGGACCGCCTGCCTCGTGGGCTCCAGGACGCCGAGGGCCTGCAGGAGATCTTCACCCAGTTCCACCCTCCCGTCTTCTGCCAGGTACAGCCGGAATGGGAGTCTCCCTTTGCCTCGCCCTGGAGAGCCCCAGTCTACTGGGGGTTGTACATGCTTTTGCTCGGTGGCCAAAGGGCATTTTTGTAGCCTGTAGCTGGCTCAGCAGAGGTTTGACAGGAAAATGAGAATATGGGTGGTTCTGCGGGACCAGATGTGGAGACCACCTAATTTAGATCAAGCCAGCAGGAAAAATAAATCCCCTTACAGGCAATAAAATGGGTAATCCAATCAGGCCAAACCCAAGTGGTTTAGATAGAAACTTAACATGCTGGTTTTCAGTGGGGTAGTTATGTGGGTGACAGTTCATGTACTGGCTTGAAGTTTAGGTAGTGAGATACTCTCAGATTTCACCTTCAGACCATTTTAAGGAAATACTTGTAGAATTAAACTAGCAGGTTTTTTTCCCATTATTTAAAATTAAAATCGGGGACCTTGGCACCTAGAATAAATTTGAGTTCTAGAGGAACCATTGCTTAACCCTGACCTGATTTGCAGGGTTAGAGAGCGGTTTCTATAGTGATGACCGCCTGACTGTCACAGGTGCAGTGTGTGAATGACCTGTGCGCACATTACTGAATTGCTGAAGCTCGCCCATTCAGCCCCCTTTGTCTTCCTTTTGCTACGTGAGGAAGGGCTTTCTGGAACTTGCATAGTGGCTGGCTGCTCTGGGGGCAACTCATTGTTATGGAAATGTTTTTTTTGCTTGCTATTAGGCTTTACAAAAAGTTGCAAAAATATGAATGCAAGCCTACCTGGGGCACATTCGCTGCTGATTGCACAGGCCATGCTTGTCTAAGTTTACTCGGAGATCTCTGTCAGAACCACATTGGGCTATGACGGGCCTCCTGTTTTGAAGTAATGGCATGGGAGGGAGGGGCTTGATTTAAAGCTATTATTGGCAGTCGAGTACAAAAGCAAACCGCATGACCTATTGTCCACATATCAGCTATTAATTCTGCCGGGCTTGTACTCTTTAACACATCCCCTGAAGTGTATACACTTTGAAAAACGAGCACTGTGTGGGGGTTTCAGTGGCCTCTGTTGCACGGGACTGTTAGTGCTGTCGTTACTTTTCATTGCGCGGTGGCCTTAAATTGACAAGGTGACCTACCTTATACATGCTCCTTTCAATTTTGTAGTGCCCACGTTTATTCTGTAAACATAACATGCAAATTGATGAGCAGGTGAATCTCTGCCGTTTCATTCCTTGACCACTACCACTGCAATTTTGACCTTGTTAGTTTAGAAATACAGGTGACAATTCAACCTGGTTTTCCCTTTTTGGTTTTTAAAAGCAAGTTCATTTGAAGGTCTCCATCTAGTTGTAATAACCTAAGTAGTTTGTTTTTTTTTTTAGACACCCACAATTCTTTGTAAAAAAAATAAATAAAAAGCCTTGCAGATCCTACATAACCAGCCCACAAAGTCAACTTTTGAAAGTGAATTCCTGCTTGCCAAATTCTTAAAGCGTCTGAGGTCCACAGCTTTTTAATGCCGACTGACTGTGCGCTTTCCAGCTGGCCCAAGGGCAGGATGGCAACTTCAGGCGGTTTGCAGTGCTGGAGTTCGAGACGGCCGAGATGGCAGAGATGTTCCAGAGGAGCACCGACGGGCTGGCTGTGGGCAAGACGCGCATCCGCGTCTCGTTCTGCGCACCTGGACCCCCGGGGAGGAGCATGCTGGCCGCGCTCATTGCAGCTCAGACCATGGTAGGGTTCTCTGGCGTTGCCCTTCAAAAGCTTGCAATTTATAAAATCTAATTTTATGTTCTCTTAATGTCCTATGCCGATGTGTTTGCTTGCTCTTAGATGTTCAAAATATGCAGAGAGCGATGTCCGACTTATTTGGGGTTTATGCACTTTAAATACTATACTTCATTTCAGCTTCTCCCTCCCCAATGCTTCTCCTATCCAAAATGCAATGGCAGCTTTTAATTAGGTAGGCTTCTTTTAGTGTTGTCACTGTTCTGAGAGGGTTGTGTTTTGACTCGTTGGGTGGTCTCTACTCTCTGTGCAGGCTATGAATCGCGGGAAGGGGCTGCTGCCTGAGCCGAATGCCATGCAGATCCTCACCAGCCTCAACAACCCAGCTACGCTGAAAATGCTGCTCACCCCACTACAGCAAGGCAGGAAGCATGGTAATGCCCCGGATGTGTTACTCTGCAGCCCACTTGTCACCAACAACACCTTTAGGTCCATTCCCTAAATATTGGTGCAAAAGGCAGCTTACAGTACCAGGAGGAAAGCCATGCCTTGTTAAGAGGACAGGTCTCAATGTTGGGATGATCATCAGGGTCTCGTACAAGACATTTTTCTGCTTCACAAAATATACAAACAACATTTGCAACATCAGGGGTGGGGGGTGAGCCTGGAAAATCGTCCATGCTTGGGAGGAGCTGGTAATGTATGTTTTTTTTTTTAGTCAGTTAAAGTTAGTTGCTGAAGGGGAAAGTGTTGTAATGCAGAGAAGAGCTATTTCTGGGCTTAGCCTTCCTAACCTTGGCCATAGAGTGCACTTTTAATTCTCGTGTAATTATAATCCTACTTTAGTAGTGAGTGTGTGGTGTATGACAACTTTCCTTTCCACTTCATTTTGAAAAGAAGAACTAAGTGGTCATGAAATGAGAGTTCCCTGTTTTGCTTTTTGTAGGTCTCCTTGGAGCAGCTCCTGCAATGCCCCTCTTGGCGAACCCTGCCCTGACAGCAGCTTTGCTGCAGCTTGTACTACAAAACCAGGCCCAGCTCCAGCAGGTACAGTACTTAAACCTTGAGAGGAAACCACAGTGTCCTGTGCCAAACCACTTGCAAACTACTGTTCCTCCAAACTTGCCTTGTGGCTAAAGGATGAAAGCGACTGTTTATCATCCTGTTTTACAGTGTTTCTTCCTGCAGCTTAATTATGCCAGTGGCCTTCAAATATCAACAAGATATCTCTATACTTTTTCTCTCAATGTACAGTGTGTATGTTCCTCTTACAAATTGTAACGGGAAGTTTGTCCATTGTTTCAAGCAAATACTGCATAGAATAATATAAATGTGATGGTTCTGGAAATTCTACCCCTTGTTTTTAAAGGGGAACTGCAATCCAAATTTTTCAGACCGGTTATTAAATCTCTGTAAAATTAATTGACTATCACAAACTTTTACAAATTCTGAATTAAGTGCAAAATCTGCAGCTTTGTGAAAGTACATGTTTGCCATGTCACACTGCTGATCTCACCATGGTGAGTGTTCACACAAATTGCAATGTGAATCTTATTAGTCCCTGTAATGACTAATGTGATGTATGAGCTAGAATAAGTACAGGTTGTGCAGGAGACACTTCACTGTTGAGTTAACAAGTAGCATTTGTCAGCAAACCTGTCTCAAATTTGAGAGCAATATTTCTATTGGATTTAAAGATGTATTCACAAGGCTGCACATTTACAATGTAATAGAGCTGGTTCATGTCCCCAGAAGTTTTGTTGCCTTGTTCTAAATCGCAGACATTGATGGCAATATGGCAATGTGCATACCTGAAAATCTGGTGCATTTTGTGATGTACACAGTAATGTTTAAAACCTCCAATTTACATTTTACTGTCATTGTGGTTTGAAATGCACTCATCAAACCAATTCTTTCTAACCCCATAATATAGAAATGGCATTGCATTTCCCCCTTTAAAAGCACAGAAGTGTTTTTTTTCGTTTATGGTTAAGGGGGGGAGGAATGAAGCCTACAGCAGGGTTCCCTTTTCTGCTTTTTGTAATGTGATTTATTCCTTCTCTGAAAATGGCTCTGACTCTTCAGCTGTTCATCTGTCTTTCATCTTGTTATATTTTTCTCTGTCATCCATGCACCCTTTGACAGAATGCATTGCTGGGGAGCCCCCTGCTTCTGCAGAATCTTATGTGGGCACAGCTCCTGCACAATAAAGAGAACCAGGCAGGCCTGAGTGTGAGTCATGGTGTGAGTGTGGTTTGTGTGTAGAGCGTGGTTTCCCATTCATTGTGTTTCCTCTAGGACATGGTTTCCTATCTATCCTCCTGGAGGACATGTTTTAATTACCATTAACTTAGCTCTTTGTTAGTTACATTTATCAAACCCCTAGAACATCTGTTCATATTGTTAGAATTTGAGGTAGTTTTAACCCCTTAACATTTAAAATGGATCCAATGCCTGATTCCAGGGTTCTGTTCTTAATTCTTAATGGTAGTGGTAGTGACTCTGGAATTTAACCACTGGGCTTAGGCAAGTGCTTAGTTGGGCATCTGGTTCAGTGCTGTCCCGATCCATTAAGAATTCTTTTAAGAAAGCTCTGGGTAGCAGCAGAACGTAACAGAATTGTATTTGCTGCATCCCTTGGCAGTGATCTGAGCGATGTGGATTTCTGATGGAACAAAGTACAGAAAACTGGGATCGTGTTGTCTCGGCTATAATGAAAATGAAAAGATACTGACACTCCGGGGCAGGGATTGTGGAAACCTGCTCTAGGAAACATTGTTCTCAAATATTCCTTTGGAGCTGCTTTGGCTGAATGCTGTTTGAGTCATTTTGGACTCCTCTCCAAAAGATAAGTTGTTGTGATTCTGTGGATGACCTAATCCAAATTGTGACTCTGAGAAGAGCAGTGTCTGGCAGGGCCAAGCCTGTGAACCGAGTGCTACTATGGGATTGATGTACTGAGAGGTTTACTTGATTGTGATGGATGGAGAAAACCGGACAGGAATTACGGGAAGCAAGTAGGCTGGCGGAACAGGCCGGCTTATTGGAAAAAGTTTTTTTCCTTCTCCTTCACCTCCCACACACCATACTAGAGTACTTTACTCATTTTAATCCAGGATTGTCATATAAATTTGGTTTTGATTTTGAAGAGCAGAGAAAAAGCCCAAATGGCTGGACCCACCATGTAGGATGCTTCTATAATTATTCTGTATATATACATGAATATTTTTGCTCCGCAAAATATTACCGTGTATGGTAACAGCCGGAGATGGATATAGTTATATTTCCATATCTAGGATTTAAAGGCTGGAAGGGAGTTTGTGGGAGGAAAAAATTCATTTTACAGCTTCTCTTTCACTAGTTCTCAATCCAATTCTAATTAAGTGTATAACCCTATACTGTGCACTCTTCGTATGGTCCTGTACTGTAATAAATTGGATAACCTCCATTATTTTGAGTGCTGTTTGCATTAAAAAGCCTTTGTTTTTTCCATTTGTCAAAGTTCCCAGAATCTTCAGTTGCTGTTTTAGTGATCTCCATCCCTAATCCCTCAAGATGAATGATGACTTTGTCATGTCAAAACATGGACTGTTTTGAATAAATAATGGAAATTTGGATGTGATGGATCCTGAAGCTTTCCAGGATGAGGGGTGGAGATCCTGTTAGGCTGTAAGGATATGATCAGTTTTTGTTCGTTTGCTGTTTCTGTAGCCCGGGGTGCTTGGAGAAAACCCCCTGTCTGTGCTGCCACCTCAAAACATCCTTCAGCAGGGAATGGGAATACTGGGAGACCTGCCTCCAGGTGAGCGTTTGACTTCGGAGTGCAGGGGTTTACCTGGGAGAAGCTGTTCTGTTCACGTCACTCAGCTGCCTGCGGTTTGTCATGTTATACATTTGCTCTCTGCCTTTTGTCTGCAGGTGGAGTTTTGCCCTCTGTTGGGCTGGCCCCAGAAGTGCCTCCTCCAGGGCCCATAAAGCCAACCACGCTGCCTGGAGGAAACATGCCCCTCCCACACCTGCTGGGTGGTGGGTCTGTGGACCGGGAGTCTCCCACCACCGTGGGGGGCCACTTTCCTCAGTCTGCGCCTTCTCCTGCGCTCCAGGGCATTGTCACCCCTATTCTGGGCAATGTGCTAGGTGGCATACCTCAGCAGCCTAGTGCTGGTCTGCCAGCCGATGGCGGGTCTCTAATGCCAGGGGTAAGAACATGGTGTGGGAGGCTTGTTCATTAGCCCAAAACCCTACTCCAGTGCTGGAGCTCTATCCTGCTTGTCAATTGATCTGGGAACAAAAAAAAATCATGCTACTGTATAGTGTTAAAAAGGAATATAAAACCTTCCTCAGTTGTTTTGTTTTAAACACAGACTCGGTGACCATGGTTATATATTAATGTGTAGATTTAGACTTTGGACTGCCGAGCTTTGGCAGAAGTGAGTTTTGGATTTCTTCCACCATTCAACCTCCAAAAATAAATCCCTTTAAATAATTGCATTCTACCACAATATTGAGATCTTCAGACATAAGATTGTGAAAGGACTCGAGCATGTTCAATTCTTCATGTTTATTTGCAGGAGGCATAGTTAAGCACAGCAGTTTATGGGAGGGGAAAAAACATTAATTTTATCCTTTTCAGCTGTCCCTACTGGGGGAGCCTCCCAAAGACCTGAAGATTCCCCGGAACCCATTCCTCAACATCCACAGTGCCTTCCCATCAGCAAGCATGTCAGGATCAGGTGAGAGGAGCTGACATGTTTTGTAGATCAAGGTTCCACATTCTTTCAGACTTTGTGATGAGAACTGTGCTTCCATTTCACTTCAACTAGTGGCTTTCTTCTCTGTGACTGTCCAGGGAGCTGTAAAAATACAAGGAAGCCTTCGCCTCTAAGCTCTTGGTACCATTAAATATCTGGTTTTATTTTCCTCTGCTTCAGAGCTGTGTCAATAAAGGAAATTCAGAAGTGGCTTGAAATCTGAATATTTCATAGCTGAAAGCAACTCTGAAGTGGCCCAACAATGGACTGCAGAATCGGTTTAAATGAAAAACCATTCTGGGCCGTAAAAGGTATGAGGTGTTGAGGCATGCATTTAACTTTTCTTGTGTTTTCTGCAGGTGCAAACTCCAGACCGCACCCCTATAGGAAGAAGCCCGCTGTCTTAGGGAACATTTCTAATCCCAGAAACATGCATAGTTCCCATTCAGACTTCTCTCCTTCTTCCAGCCTTCAGTACCAAGACTCCTATTTGTATGGAGACTACAAGCCTATAAATCAAGTATGATGTCTTTTTTTTCTCCCCTTTATTTGTATTTCATTATAGTTACACTTTCAAGTTAATGGAAGAGTTGGTGTGGAAATGAGTCACTAGTGATTAATAAGGTTTGTGACTGGAGATAATACAAGCCTGCAAAAAACAAATTACAAACCCAGAGGTAGATGGCAGGTTTCTGTTTTTCCCCAAAGTTGTTTGGCGCTCCACTATTGAAATGAACACTGGGCTTGGCATGTGGCATTGGAGGAGGTCCAGCCTGTAGCCTCTCTTTGTTTTAATGTGAAATATGTTTTAAGGAAGCATGTTTCAATTCAAGAATTTATATAGAGGTTCTCCGTAAAAAATCGAATGCAGCTCGAGCCCTAGAGTACCAAAGGATCCTTCGGGTCTCATTCTTTTCTATATTAAGTAATGTCTTGTATAATAAGTGGAATCTTCCTGCTTCTTTTGGTCTTAAACAGTTGCTAATTGAAAATAACTTATGTGAAACCTGTAGGACTCCTGCCGTGTAGGACTAGATTTTCCCTTCATTAGTAACGATATATTTGTGTAAGGAAAGAAGTGGTGGCAAGATGAAATACTGGTAGGGTAATGAAATAACTATGCCATGAAATTAAGAATGTAGCAGTCCTCATAATTGTATCCTCTCCAGGATGTCTTTGTCATGCAACTAGAAGGAATTGTGATATTTTACTGAATTAAAAAATTGAGTAAATATTCATTTCCTACCTGCGAAGAGGGTGAGGTCATCTGTCTGCAAACAGCAAGACTGTAGCAACAGACTTTTTTTTTAAGCATCAGCTAGCATCATATCACTAGCCACAACATCTCTGTACAATGGTGTGTTTTTTTTTTTCCCCACTAACAGGACTCAATGTCGCACATGTATCAGCAACTCGATGCCTTGGACCCAAGTGCTTTGAGAGGATACAACCATCACAAGCAAAAGGTACTTTGCAGGCTGATGGCCCTGATCGATTTATAGCTCCCTTTGGGTAGAGGTTTTTATGAAATGTAGCTTTTGAAAATATTTTTGAAAAGCATAAGTTTGCTTTGCCACACCTGGCGTTCTGACCAAGAGCCTGTTTCATAAAACCGGAAACCATCCAAGACCTGCAGCTGAGCGGGAATCCTGTGGTCTGTCATGATTGATAGTCTTTCCCTGTTCCTTTTTGTGCTCCAGAGTCCGTACCAGTCTGGCTACAGTGAGCGCGGAGCCTTTAACCTCTCTCCTGTGCCCTCTTATCACTCGGGGTCTCCTACAGCATACTTCAAGAGCGGGATGAGTGCTGGGATCCAACAGACTCACCTCAACAAGGTCAGGGGGGTCTTTACTGTTTGAAGTCTTAACAGGGAAGCAGTATATTTTTGTACACTGTGGTATTAATGTGTAGCTTCAATTTGGTTGCCTCCTTCCCATTTAATCACTCACACCAGCACATTGCCAACATGGGGTGAATGCAAGAATAAGAGGTATACATATCTGTGCCCCGAGTCATGGATGATGTTCTGGGCAGGTCTCCTGTTGTGCTGTGCAAGATGGGGACATGTTAAAAGGATGTGCTAAACAGGTTTTAGTTGTTCCATGGTGACCACTGAGAGAACAACCACCTCGTTCTCTAGAATGCAGTTCTGTTCCCAAAAGAAATATCTCATGATCTGTTGCCACATTCCCATAAGAGTTGCATTTGCATGGGATTTAGAAGACAGGTACTCTGCAATGGGCAGGGAGTTAGCCGTCCATGGCAAACCCAGTGCGACAATTGGATGAGCTCGGGAGCTGTATTTTTCTCCAGGGTTGTTTTGAACCTATCTATTATCCGCCTCTCTCCTCCATCGCCATCCCTGTGGATGTGCGGCCAAGACGCGGGTGTCTTGGGCACTCTTCGTGTTCAGAGCAAAGGTTGTATAGTTTGTGTCCAAATGGGGAACCTGCACTTACTGGCTCAAGTTGGGGAGCTGCATTTTCTGGTTAGTAAAAATATAACCTAATGTGTGTGAAATTGTAAAAACTGTCTCTGCTTATTTTCAGGCAGTAGGTATGCCTCCTGTAAGCAATGGGAACAGTTTGTACGGGTACGGGCCAAGCTCATCTCCTCCAGGAAACATTATGAAGGTAAAGGCTTTTTCCCTCTCAGTGAAACGGGCAAGATTCTTAAGTTAAAGCTTGGAAAATGGTTACAGTAGGCTTCACATCGCACCTTGAGGACCTGAAGTATAAAGATTCTACTATTACAGAAGTGTCCTTGTCTGTTAACCTTATTTCTGAATTTGTTCTAATGCAGCTGTGGTTTATTTATTATTTTGAAACCCGTGCCCAGACAGTGTCATTTAAATTCCACAATTGAGTGCAGTTGCTCAATGGAATGAAGAGTGCTGTTTGTTTTGTTAAAGAATCTACTTTAAATACTGCACGTGAATGTAGTTAATTGGTTAGAAGTTTCAATTATATTGTAAAGCTCTGATTAAACTGAAGTTAATTTTTTGCCACCAGAAACATGGTTTTAAAAGATGGTTTAAAACGGATGTAATGGTTCTGCTTTTTGTAGAAAAAAATAGCATGTAGTGCAAAACAAAGCTTTGCAGGCTGTCGCCAGTTTTTAAAAGTCAGGTTTTATTTTTAGAATGAGGAAATGATCAACATTTTGACCTTGTTCCTTAATTAAATTTGCAAAGTTACTCATTGTGGGCCTTGTTAGTCATTGGTATGCTATAAGAGATTTACAATCTAAGCTCTTGTGGTACAGTAGTGGATTAGTGGGTGCACATGAATCTTTCAGTGACCCAGTGTTCATCATGCTTTTAACATGTAGCCGTTTGCTGTATGTGCGTTCAATTTAAACTCAAGAGATGAGAACAGTACAAGGAAGCATTCTGAAATTGCAGACATTCCAAAAGTGATCATGTATCTTTCACTCCTTCCATGAGGAGGATGTGCAGGACAGATTTAATGTGCCAGGTTTGGATGTTGCATGAATATGCAGTAAATATCTTGTGCTTTTTTTTGTTTTTGGTCAGACGCCAGTTGGGGGTCAGAAACGAGTGTTCTCGCGTCTCATCCCGTCGCCCGAGCCGAGCCCCGAGGGCAGCTATGTGGGACAGCACTCGCAGGGTCTTGGGGGACACTATGCCGATTCCTACCTGAAGCGGAAACGGATATTTTAACTGCGGGTGTCTCCGGAGTTGTGGGGATAAAATGGAAAAGGATGAGAGAAGGGAGGGAGGAGGAAGGACAGACCTCTGATGTTGTGCCAATCATCACTGACACCATGCTTATTACAAGGGTGGAGAATTATTATGTGTGGTGTTCTGTTTTTTTTTTTCTGCCAGTGATAGTCAAGGTGGCTGTAAGATAATATACTGGGAAATGTATGACTGTGATTTATCCATTTTATTCTTTTTTTCCCCTCCCCTCTTTCGGTAAAGAACATTTTAAGATCCTGCTTCCCAGCTCAGGGAGGTAAATGTTTCTGTTCGACATATTGGCCTTGTAATGTGAGGTTTTGTTTGTTTTTTTTAGTTTTTAATTTTATTTTAAGTATATAAGTTTTAAGTTTCATTTTATTTTGATTTTTTTAAAGAAAAGCCTCATGTTATTATGTGGGTAGCTGGAGAGTGAACACCGCTTAAAGTGAATTCAGGATTTGTTTTTCCTGCTATTTCCAAGTTAAGGCTTAGTTTAGTTTTTTTAAGTTTTAATTTTTTATCCCCCCCCCCCCCCCCCAGGCAAAGCCCTAAATGTTTTATCCTTTCTTATTGTTTGTAACTGTGTGAAAATGTGAATTTTTGCTTTTTGTCATTTATGCTTTTCTGTTAATGGCAGGAACTTTTCCTCCCTTGTACTGCTCATGTAAATTTTATTTTCCCTATTCATCTTCCCTTTTAACTTAAGATTCTAAGGAGGGCAGAGATGAGGAGTAACTTTGTACAGTCTCGTGTCTTAGTGTGTACTTCGATATAGTTATTTAAATGTGCAGCAGTGTAATGTTACATGAAAGCATCTATTTTTACACTGACATTATTCTATAAACCTCAAGAGCACAGTTATTCTGCTGATTTAGGCTTGAAATGTAATACCCTCCTTTTATGCCTTATGTCCTTCACCACTTCTAAACCTTACTGAACATTTACGTTTCTCAGCACAGAATGAAACTGCATTGACGTGACAAAGCAGACTTCCAGTCTTGACCTGAACTGGTTCTTACCTCACTTCTTAATACTTCAGAACCGAAACAGTTCTCTGTATGTTTCAACAGTATTTTTGTGCCTTCTAGGATTTTCTATCATAAATCATTATATAAATTATTAAACTCATGATGCCAAATGGCAACAGCAGCTCTTCCAGATTTAAATGTCCAAAGAAATTTGGTTGCTGCTTTCAAAGCTCAGCCTATGTATGTGTAACAGGCATGCCTTACTGTTTTTAAATGGCCTTTAAATGAGCATTGCTGGGGTACTGCTGCCTCTTCCTTCTTTTAATGATGTGGAACTTATTTTTGCTTCTCATTAATTTCTAAAGTTCTAAAGAAGCTCTGCCCTGTTGGTACTGACCAGTGTATTTATGCTGAGGTGCCTTTTTTTTATTTGTTGTCCAGCCCAGAGCAGGACTTCAAAGCAGGGTCGTTTCTATGCTGATATGCTTCTTTCTGAATCTTGTAACCCTTTTAGATCAAGGCATCTCATGGCCAAATTAGGAATGGAAGAGCCAAGATTCTAACATTTTAAAGGTTAGAATTCAAACTTTCATATTAACAGCTTTACTACAGTCAGTTTTTTTTTAATACCGAGTCAGTTTTACTCTTTGGGTGGTTTTGTATACGGGGTGATGGCTTTATTGCACTTAAACTACTGTATGTGTGTTGAAATCACCGTTCTTAAACCTTCCTTTTGTTTTTGATCAGTGCAGCTTTTTTATTTTTAATCTCGGAACCTTTTTCCTGTTCCTAGCCCATGTTTGCTTAAGGAGATGCTCAAGATGCATAGGTCTGAGGGCATTTCATGTAAGAAATATAAGGCATTAAACATTTTAATGTGATCTTTGCAGCTACAGAAAGTCTTAAATGCAAATTTGTCAAGGGAACTTGCAATATGTTGAAAAATCAAGCAATTCTACTAGTCAGACTGAGGTATTAATATCTAGTTTGACAGATATTCAAACAAGAGCCAGTTTGAGTATTTTATTCTTTCCCCCATTTAACCCACAGTGTTGGGTAATGGCTTTAATGTTCTCAGTTTAAACCTATCATGACCAAATTCAAAGCAAATTTTCTCTTCAAGTGGACATGTATTGATCAGTTTTTGTTTAAGCTGTTTGCTGATCATTATCCGCTTGGGTGGTGCATTTCCAAGTTTAAACTGCCATAGAAGCATGCTTTTTATTCTTTTGTAATACACAAGAAAATACTTGAACAGCTTTTTGATCAACTGTGAAATCGCAGTTTGTGAGGAGTATGTTTAGTAATGTAGGTGGGTTTTAAGTTAAAATAACAAATTCTTTGTATAGCATCATTACCTCCAACCAGTATTGCTTGACATTCTGAGGAAGTTTGGGTGTCTTAGTGTCCGCTAGGGTGATTTTTCTGTTCCATATTTCTCATTGTGACTTTTTCTTACTAAGGCAACTAATGTTTGTGTCTCCTACAAAATAAAACAAAAACGTCATGTTGTGAGTGATTCTTCACTGCCTTGTCGACAAGCACAAGGCAATCTAAAAGCTGTAAGTCTGACAGGTTTGTGCTGGAATGCTTTGGTTTTGGTAGATCTCTAAATAAGTGAATTCAATCTACAATAAATGACACTTGCAGCTACAGATGTCATTTATTTGCTCTAGTCAAGGTAACAGTTGCTACATCGATAAATTTATACGCGCCAGCAGCTGAGTCTTGTCTGCTGTAGGTAAAATGGAGGGTCATCTTTAACAAAACTGCTATGTTTCGCAAAGTTAATTGGAACTGAGATTTGCTGACTGAACACTAGGGGGTGTAAATCTACAACCATTTTTTTTTTCTCAAGCTGCCGACAAGGCTATTTATTTGCGTTCCTTTATCTTACCGGGAGAGTCGCTCGAGCTCGGATTCTTATGAACACTTGCAACCAGCAAACGGTTTAGTGGTGCAATGATAGTGGTGTTCCTCCCTCAAGGTGAAAGCGGTGTCCTGCCTGGGGTTTGAACCCTCAACCCTGCCGCATTCATGCTTTAGGTAGTAGATGGTTTTGTCCCATTTTATTTGGGGAATTGGAATGGGATTTCAATGCCAGAAATGTTCAACGGTTTTCACTTTTTAAATATGATTGGGATTCCTTCTTTTTGGAATCCTTCATAGATGTAACCTTTGCTTGATCTGTACTGGTGCAAGGAAGTTTGTAAATTACATTGAAGGGCATTCACTGCCGATACAGGAGTAGACTAATGCAACACTCCTGGTTCATGGTTGGCTTTTCCTGCTCTCTAAAACAATCCTTACGGAATTAATTTAAAACATCCTTTAAAAAAAAACAGAGGCTCTGTAATCTGCTATAGGTAAATAAATACAAGTGTGGGTCATATACGGTTACCTTTCCCCAGCCAGAGGTTCATGCCTGCACCTTCAGGAGTGAAGCTGGGACTAACAGTTCAGGGCTCTCTGGGATCCCTGTGAAACGGTGACCCCTGTGCCCTCTTCACGTGTGAGCTCTGTCTTTTCTAATCACCAGTGGAGATGCTAGGTACTTGCAGAGTTGGACAGGACCAGTCTGCACCTCCCTTTTTTCCCCATGTGCCTATGGCAGGGTGTTGCTGTGAGCCGATGCACAAAGACACAATTGTCGGTTCCCAGATTGGGTGGACATGTAAAACAGGATTATTTGCAACTCTAAAACTGTAAAAAAAAAAAAAAAGCTTATCTCCAGTGCTTGATAACAGTTGTCTTCTATGCCAATGGCCATGCTAACAGACTAACGGCAAGACCCAGGCAGAAGTAGTTCAGGTGGGTAGCTGCGTCAGCATGCATAGTCTGCAAATGAACAAGTTAATAGGTTTATTCCATGCTGAAGAGAGCAAACGTAACGTTTCAGCTGTGAAGCCTTCTTCAGGTGTTGCTCACACCTAAAAAAGGCTTCACAGCTAAAACAGTATGTTTTCTCTCTTCTCTTTTCAGCATGGCATAAACCTATTGCGAGACCAAGGCAGTGCAAGTGCCTTTTGTCTAAGTCGGCCTGAAATATGCGTTTTAAATCAATTTTTGAGAAGACTACAGAAGGTCAGCTAATCCACTTCCCCTTTTGTACGTACAGCTGTCGTAATTCACACCTGTGGTTCATATCTGCTGCCACTGAAAATGATTTTCCTTTTCCAGTCCGCCACCCAGCTGCTTCTCCCTCTACAGACAGATTGGTGTTGAAGCGACTCTGCAAGTTCTTCCATCTCCTTGGGCGTTTGCCAAGTGACACTGAGTGCTTGGTGTATTAATCAGACGATTCAGCTCTCAAAACCTTGAACAAACAGTGCTCTGTTTTCCTTGGAAATGCAGAATAATTTGACCTCCAACATCCAAAATTGCACTTAAAAAGCACTTTTGTTTTCTGCCAGCTGAAGACCCTCCATTTTATTGTAATGCTACTTGAGCAATGTAGACAAGATCCCTATAGCTTTTTAGCTACACACGCATCCTCTCCCCAGAACAGGCTGTACAGGTCTTTTCAAGCAAATAGCTTCATGACGCTTGTTTTTTATAAAAATGTATCGGGATTATATCAGTGGAAGTGTAAAGATGTACATCTACTGCTCCTTTAAGGCTCAACTGTAGAACCTGGCACTAAGATTGGTCACATGGTTTTAGTATGTAATGCTCCGTCTGCAATGAATTTATGCCATCTGTTGAAATCTGTCTTAATGTCATTTAGATATTGTTGGCAGGATGTGATGGATGGGCCTAGCCCATGTCTTTACTCATCATGGGCAGAGGGCAACTCCCTGCCGCTCTTTGCCGAAATCAGTCTGGAAGTTACAAAAGAAAAGACTGATCATATCCTCTTCTGTCAACCACGGTCTTATCTCAGATGGGCACTGTTACTTTACTGAAATGAGAATTAGGTAGAAGTCCTTTTTTTACTCCAGTACATAGTTAAGTACAACTCAAATTTAACTATCCCCCCATTTATCCCTGGTAGGCTGGCCTGCCCGAGCACATTCAGGGAGCAAGCTTCACGTGAGACTGCATTCCCATAGGTTAAAGGGGGCAGATATTCTGAATCCCCCGTGTTGCAAAAACAAAGGCATCCTGTAAAAATCCTAACTTTGAGAAGCATTAAGCATACAAATAACCTGAAGCTTCTGCTCGACTGTACTTTTTTTTTTATCATCAGATTAATGTTGAAAATATCTACATTGCTTTTGTGCTCAGATAGGATCTAAACATGCCAGTTTGTTCACAGCTAAATCTGTGTACAGTGCAACTTGAAACCTATACTAAATATTTGAGGCTACACCCTTTCTGTGAAAACTACAAAAAAAAAACTTCATCCTGGAGTACACCACACATTTTCTTGCCTGTGTGTTTTCCGGTGTGGGGGCTGTTCTCGGAAGCCTCCCAGGATTGATCTGTAGTGGGGTTTTAGGGTAGGTGTGGCGCATGACATCAGGGGGAGTTGTGGAAACTTGTGCAGCGTATCTCCCTGGTAGCACCTGTGAGTTTTATGATGAATTATGCTGTCAGGGATTGACATTTCCAGTGCCACACTTCCTCATTCATGCACAGTGAGCTTTTTTGGGGAACGCCTGCCAAGAGTAAGCTGATGTGTTTTTTTTCCCCCAACAAAAAAAAAAATCAGGTTAAACTTTTGTTGTAATGAGTCAACCACATTTTTGGGGTTTTCAGTTTTGGTCTTTATTTGTGGATCACGCCCTGACAGTGCTCCGTCAGCTCTCTCTATGCACTCCGTCCTCCAAAGTCAACATTCATGCTGCAGCAATCTTGGACATTAAAGCAACCGCAGGGAGAAAGATAACTCAGGTGCTCCAGGAGCTGGGCGCTTTCCTCCTGCACTCCACTCCGACACCTCAGCTCAGCCAATTCCTGGCGAACCTCCGGCCAACATCTGGATCTGCATCCATGAGCTGGCTAGTTTCCACCTGGTCTCCTTTCACTCCTGTGGGGTTTTTTTTCCAGTCTTCCCAAGCCAGTCAGTTTTAGAAACGGTAGAGGTTGCACACAGCCTGGAAAATGACTGACTGGATGCCGGAATGCGTTGAGCACTTGAGTTTCTTAACCTGTCAGCCCAGTGGGGACAGTTTTGCTATAGGAAACAACCATTCAATGAGTGGGGGGGGGAAACATAAGCATCGATTATATTTTACAGGGTAAAGACGAGTCTGCTTCCCCTGGGCAGCAGATCATGAGATCAGATCAAAAACAAATGCACACAGTTAAATAAATAAAAATGAAAGCCATGCCCTTGTGTGTTAAAAATGACTTTTGTAGCAATGCATTCAAACAATTTAAGGATTACACCGATTGCTCAAAATATAAAAAAAATCTGCAAAAAATCAAAGGCAACAGCTGAACATGGTTTTTTTAAAACTCATTACAGTGCATTCAAAACTTCAAGTTCATGTTTAACAGTATCAGAATGACATCTAATGTCCTATGTGCCACAGAGAAGGAGTCCGCTCATCATGCTGTAGCCTCACTGAATTAAAATGATTGATTTTTTAATCTTGAATTAGTGTAGTCTTCCTCTTAACCCAGTTTTTACTCCACAGTCTAACACAGAAAAGACAGCTTGCTGCCAACCATCCGATTTTGAACAATTTTCCAAAAATATATTTCTTTAAAAAAAGGTAAAAAATATAATTTTAACAAACTAAAGGAAAACAAGAAAGTATCAGAATAAAAAAGGCTGGTGTTACAATATGTCAACCCTTATCTTTGGCTTTAACCACAGGGATTGTGTAAGTAGCGAGGCATTTTAACTCCGAGATCAGATTTTGTTTTAAATGTCACAGGGAAAACAATATTTAAAATGCAAAGTGACATTTGTCACCCATGAGGGCCTTCTGACTTTACTTCTGAAAATGAACCATCATTACATTTATGTTTGTTCCTTTTCGTTGGAAGATTTGTGGTGGTGTTTTACAAGCACACAAAGTACCATCACCTTCCTTACATCAATTTTCTAATTGTTTTATCCAGTGTAGAGTTGCTGGAGAGCTGGAGTCAATCCCAGCAAGCAACGGATAGAAGGCAGGATAGACCCTGGCCAGGACACCAGACCAAGCCAGGGCACACACACACACATAAACTCACACCAGGGCCAGTTGTCCCAGAATTCCATTAACCTACCCATATTCACGCCGTGAGAGGAAATTGGAACTCCTGGAGGAGACCAATGTGAATGTGGGAAGAACATGCAAACTCCACACAAATAGCACCATAGGAATTGATCCCAGGGTTCCAGTGCTGCAAGGCAGCAATGCTAACTACTGCCCCACTATAGTATCGCCACTCCTCACCCCTAAAAGCAAATGTTTGAACAGCCCAATTTTTCACACGTGTCAAGAGTCCGAAGGTGGTCAATGCAGCTGGAAGCAGCTGGATGTGCTGTACAGCTAACACTTCACGATGGTAAGTGCTGCCTGGGCCTGCTAGAATCCAGACATGCCCCTTCGCAAAACTGTCAGCTTTCAGTAGGATTATGTAATTTTAAAGGAAACCTCTTGCATAACTCAAGGGTCAGTGTTCCGTTTCAGTATTTTGAGTGCAAACAGAAAAAAAGGCATGCTTAACCTGTATTTAACCTCCAGATTCCCGAAGCCTCACTCTACTTTTGTCTTTTTATAATATACTGTACTGGTCAGTTTAGCTGCCTTTGTAATGCCAAGTTAGACCCCTGGAGATTTCATAGGTGTACACACATTCATTACGATGGGCACAAGGGGAAGTGAAAAGAAGCCATCCCTGCCGAGAGAGGAGAAAGGTGCAGGGGTGAAAATAAGACCCGTATACCAGGACCCCTGTTTCTAAAGATGGAGAACACTTGCTTTAGCGTTAGGAGAGAATTTCATTCAATTAAGAGAGCTCTGCCGCCCAAACAAGAACTGAAAGATAGTCAGATCTTTGTTCCAGATCTTGGGATTAATTCAGCCAATAACCTGTTTAAATCAACCCAACTGAACTGTTCCCAGTCTTCCTAAAATTGATGATGTAATGGTCACCTCTACAATGTGCCATCTTGGGACTCATAAGGATCAGTGTGGTCAGACCATTGGTAACAGCAACCCATCTACTTCTGTGTTAAAAGCCATGGCGGCTGAGAGGAGAGAAAGTAAGAAATACATCCGGGATTATCCAATCTGCAGGTTTCAGACCAGGTCCTTTTCCACTGTAGCACAGGGCGTTCCAATCTTCCTGGACACTGCTGCTCAGATAACAGAGTTCTTATTGCCTCTGTATCTTTTGAATGCATATCCCACAATCAGCCCAACAATCACCACAATTCCAGCTCCAATGATACTCCAGAAGACCGTCTTATCTGTCAAAGGAATAAAGTCGATTATTAATGATGTGGGCAGGGCAGGCTGTTGTAGTCCATTTGCAGAGCCTTCTTTTTTGTTGTTACGGTATTTTTATACAACTCAGCTTAGCTTGGCAGGACGCATTATGGCCGGCAAAGGCATGCCTTCCCCACCACAAAAGGCAGTCAGTCCTGTGATTATTAAACCCAAGAGATCTTGGAGTTCGATAACTGTAGTCCTAATAAATTAATATAAATAGGGAGTTTGTCCCGAAATGCAAAAGCTTAGGTACAGCTCTGATTCCCTATTGTAATTTAATTAATTAGTTTTTAAGTCCCCAACTTAATTCATTTCATCCAATGTCCTTGGAGCCTACAGCTTTGCAATGGCCAACTGCTCAGCATTTCTGCACTGACTGGAAGGAACTAGGTGCATGGTGGACTTGCTGCCCACTCCAGGGGCAGCACCGGATGCGTCCGCAGTGCAGCTCTTGCTGACCCCTGGCAAGTCACAAGAGAGCGCTGCTGAGCAACAAGCAAGCTGCAGAGATGCTTGGATGAGTCGCGCCTACGCCCAGAGTGAGTTCTCCACCCCACTAAATCTGGTCAGTCAGTCAGAGGCGTGATTTAGACTGAAACTGCAATGTCCGAGTGATGGACTCATCCTAGTCTCCCAGTGACGTATTGATGAAATGTAGTCTGAATTGTATAAAAGTTGGTTTGGTATTACCCAGTGACGTATTGATGAAATGTAGTCTGAATTGTATAAAAGTTGGTTTGGTATTACTTGCCAAACAGAGGGTGGGTGCTCAGTGGGTAAGATACTGGTGCGTAGGCGAGCAGAAATAGAAATTTGACCTGCTTCTGAACTGCTGTTAAAAGCAGCATTAAGTAATATTTTTTCTCTCTTAGTGTGATGAAAAGAGCCCTAAAACGTTCTGGATTTGAACCCCCAGGAACAGCAGTGTCAATACTGCATCAGTGCTTGGCTTTCAGCCTGCAGTGCTCGAGTTCCCTGGTGTCACTTGCCATTTCACAGCACACAAAGCTCTCAGTTATCCGAGCAGCAGAAAGCAACTAACTGGACAGGATTAGCACCAGCTGTTCAAGACTGGTAAAATCAGTGCAACTCTATCCCTGCATTCGTGCACACACATTCCTGTGTTACGAAAGACAGTTCGGTGAGAAAATTCTTCAAGAGAAAACAAGTAGTGAACATCTGACTTAATGTCAAGCCTCTACAAAGGATGCTACTTCCAGGCTTGAAGCACTACAGACTCGCACTCTGGAAAAACTGCAGTGCTCTGGGAACTGGCATCCTGTTTCTATTCAGATGAACTGTGGAGGGTGTTCAGAGAATTTGGAACTTGCCAAACGCCACCCAGAGCTGATCCATCACACCGAAATCAGCCTGTCAGTGCGTGCAGCTTTCACTTCCTTCCTGAGCCCAGAATCGTTCACAAGGGAACACAAGAACAGGAAGAGGAGCTCTCTTTTTGACTACCTGGTTTGTTACCATCCCTATGAATGAGATACAGCTGTTTCCCCCTTTTATCCCAATTCAGTAAGACATACTTTGCATAGTCAGAGCATCTGCTTCCTAAGATTCTGCGAGAGCCAGAACCATAAATATTTACAAGCCTGTGGCTCAGTGACAAAAGTGGTTTTTGCCCTGGATGTTCAGGCTCTTAGCAGCCCTGCTCAAGTTACAGAGAAGACTACGGCCGTACTGAACCGGCAATTTGGAGTGTGAGGCCACACCCAAGTTGCTCCATGTGATCTTCACTCCAATTTGAATCATAGCTTGTTTTCCACAGCCTACATCTTAATTTTATCTGCAGTTCAATACACAAGATCTTTTCTGGCTCTGATTCTCAGGACTACACTCTTCTTCAACTTTACTAAAGATAAAGATATATAACACTCCAGTGTTATGGGACAAGAACTGCGAGTGAGTGCATGAGTGAGTCTACAGAACTTGGCTAACTTCGGCTTGTTAGCTCTCGGAGGTAGGCTGAAACAACTCAGATCATGCAGCTTAAAGCAGAGGAAAAAAAAAAAAACTTACCTGGAATTTTCTCCACTGAGAATATCTTAGAAATGCTCCCTATCTGGTTTTCCACAATGCACTCGTAGTCTCCAGGAACAGCTGGTGCCTGAAACAACTGGTCACCCTCCTTTCTGTTGTCATCGACACCGGCGGGAGTCTTCCACTTGAATGTAGGAAGAGGATTAGCGCTGGTTTTGCAGCTTAGGAGAAGGTCCTTGCCTTTCTCAATTTTAACCCTCTCATTCCCTGAGATGAGAAAACGTGGCTTATCTAAAAGAGAAGTTAAATAACAATAAGCATCTACTGCGCAGCACCAGACAGAATGTAAAAGGCATCTTGACAAAGTCAACACACTTATGAAGGAGCAGCCAACAGGAAGGAAGAGAGAGTCTGGGGAAGGCTGGCCTGTACCTCTATTTTTTTTTAAGTGCCGTTTGTTTTAAAGCAATTCCAAGACATGTGGACGTGTGGAAAGGACTTCGGCACACGCCGACACAGAACAACAGATTTCAGAATCCCAGGTCAGGGTCACACCCGTAGTCAAACCAGACACATGGAGGAAAGCAGAAGGACACCAGCAGCACACAGTCCGTTAAACACAAAGCCAGTGCTGTGTGCAGCCCAGGCTGGGGAACAGTGCTTTGACCCACTGCTACTGGCCGGGGCAATGGGCTCTCTCGTCAGCGTCTCCAAGTGGTACAGTTACCTCTGCTGTAAGGTCACAGAGTCGCCCCCATGAGGAGCTTGTGTACCGTCTTGTCTGGTGTCACTGGTCTTTGTTTAAGGGAATGGGCAAAGCCGCAGATCTCCAATGAAGAAACTGCTGGTGCACATTGCAGGCTATGGTATGGAGTCCGCAGAGCGTACGTGACAGAGTCTTGTTGATCAGTGGTGAGTTCGCCCTGAGAAGAGCTGTGTGGTGGTAATGTGTCAGAGGGAGGAAGGTGTAAAATTGTACATCTATATTGTTTACAGCTCGCCCCACCAGTATCACACCTCCTTTAACCTCACCGCTGCATCGCAGGGCTTTTATGATTAGCTACCTCAGAGTTCGGTCCTGTGTTTTTACAATATACTGAACATCTTCCACTCACAACCAGCAAGCAGAATCCGCTCCAATTCTTTAACAAGGACCCCAGAGCCCCTTGGGTGACGCACGGCAGCTCATTGCTGCTGCTGGGGGAGGAATGGAGAGATCAGCAAGTGCCTCTGTGTTTGAAACAGGGGACAGGCTAGACTTGAGTCAGCTTGATGTGAAATTCAGTCAACAAACAAGAGACAGAGTCTCTTTAGGATAACCACTAGTTCTGCATTTTCTTGCTCCAAATAAAATTCCAGGCCATTGTAGAAATGTAGCTGCATGTTAAAGCGGAGGGAAAAAATTGCAGACATTCTCTCTTTCAAAATTGACCCATTTGAGCCTTTTCAGTCGCTTTCAGCAAACAAGGTGCAAATCTTGCTCTGCAGTAAAACGGCTTCCTTACGAATAAATTGTCAACAATTTTGGGTTGTCCCCTCCCGAATGCAAAAGCACTTTGAGATCCTTTTACGATGAAAAACAGAGTCAGGTATTTTACATGTTTTATATGTCTTACTTACCCCCATTTTACACAAAAAAAAATTTTACGAATGGAATTAGATTGATTGTTTAAGGGGCACATTTAATTATGATCAGGGAATTACCGATCGCTTTAATCCTTTCAATGGCTGCCAATGGTGAAACAGGAAAGAAAAGCTCTTTAGAACAAGAAATCAGGGGCAGTGTCCCGTGAATGCCAAGACTTTCCAGAGTCCACAGGGAAAGTAATAGATAGGACAGCCACAGTCTGGAGTGTGGAGAGCAATACAGGATGGAGCCCTTACAAACTAGGCGTGGAAACAGAAGGCTCCAACATGGTCTAAATCATGCCAGGGCCAGATCTGGCTCAGCGCCCAGGTCATTTCACTGAACAACGGGCTCTGGGATTTCCCAATGGCAGGCATGGGTGGCTTAAGAGCTGCTTAATGTTGAGTGAGGTTAACCAATCAAGGCTCTCGCCGCACAGCGAAACAGCGACACCATGACCTCCCTCGTTTACATGTGACAGTCCTGACCATGGTCTCCTCCAGTCACCCCCCATACCACACACACTGGGGTTCACAGCCTGTGCCACAGAGGGCGGGTCAGAGGAGCCTGCCTACACTTCCTCATTCTCCCTGTGTGCGTGTGCAGGATTTAGAATAATGAGACCTGAAAACATCTGGCCATTTCAAAATGGTAGGAAGGAAAATACATTTATTTAAAAAAATTAAGCCAGATACTCAGGACTCTTTCCTGACCAATGAACCTGTGAGGTGTTTTAATGAATAATGAAATGACAAGTTAATGTATACTCACACAGCACAGCGATGCGAAGAGGATCAGACTGCTTTGCAGGAGGGGGCTGTGGTCCTTCTGGTCCCAGGTTGAGCTCTGCCTCACAGGTGAACGGCTGTCCATTGTCAACTCTGTCAGGGGTGATCAGGAGGGTCGCAGACACATTCACAGGTGTTCTAGTAGTGTTGGTAAAAAAGTCCTGACTGTGAATCAGTGTCTGTCCTCTGTACCAGTTCAAAGTGAGGTACTGAACAGGAGCGATGTTCTGGACCTCACACTGCAGCTGGTACTGTCTCCCCTCCACCATCTGATCCACTGGGCTGAGAGAGACACTGTCCGGGTACTCTGCAAAAATAAAAACATGGGATATATTTATTTTTCCTTTATTTACTTTCCCTACCAAGCTTTGTGCTATATTTCCATCTGAGAGCCTACACCAGAGCAGTCCCATTAGGCACCATGTGGTTGTCCTAACACTTCCAGGGCAACACTTGTTGATGTAGACCTCACTCATTCTCAGAGCATCTGAGGACACACGCCTACAGCTGTCCTATGCAGAGACCCACAGTGACCAATTCTCCCGGCAGGATCTGGACCCTTTTGCCTGCTGTAGATCTGGGGGATCTCTGGTTTAATAATGACCTCATAACAACTTCATCTTCCAAGAAAACATCAAACCCTTACAAACAGTAACTGTTTTACTGTGGTTTATACCTGATGCTCCTCACTTCTGTCATTTTCAAACTGCCTGCTTCCCTGTAATGGGTAAGTAAATGTCAAAGTCTTCACTAGACCCTCATGGTAAAAAGAACTCATCACATGTGTTTTGACTTTTTTTTGTTAATTTAAACACTGTACACTACACACATCAATTCTGCCAAAATAATCTGGACAAAAAGTTGTCAAAAATAAACCTGCAACCATATAGAATAAGCTGATATTGTAATTATCCTACCTACAGTATGTTGCCTCTGCTTAATCTGTGAATACATTGTACTGCAAAATATTTTCATGAAACAATTTACCCAATTTCAAGATCTTCCTGTGCAAATTGATAAAATTGCAAGTTGTAAATGTAAATGAGAATTTTAATCTCAACTGATTATCTCAAGTGGTAAAGGTTTAGTTAAATTTAACTTGTGTTTATAAGAGAGACTTTTATCCCAGATGATCCAAAAGCACTTCACATACAGGAAGGGACACACTTCATCCACCTCTGAGGTGCAGCCCCACCTGGGAGACACACAGCAGCCTTTTTGCACCAGTGACCTCATATTGAGGTGAGTGAAGTGGATCCCCTCAAACATCTTTATATCCTTTGAGATGAAAATGCTATATCAAATTAAATGGTTATCATAAAAATATAACAGAGAAAGCAAAATATAAAATACTAAGATCTGAACTGACAAAGGAAACCATGAAAAATCAAGCACATGCATGGCAGCGTTAGTACTTGTGAAAAACAACAACCATGAACAAAAGAAATAAAAAGTCACTCACTGTACAAACTGATGTTGAGATTCTTCCTGCACTGCTTGGGCTCAGTAAGGAAGTTTCCGTAGCACTTAGGCTCTGCAGTCCAATCAGTCAGACTGCTGACATTCCAGGTGACAGACTGGACATCTGCTTTCATGCCTGTAGACCCAACTGTAGCCTCCCAGCCCATTCCTCTGGGTATCTGTGTTGCAGTGCAGTTCACTGTCACTGGGTCCCCATATTTCACCACAGCTCTCTGAGGGCTGATCTCAACAGGACACTCTGGGACAGCTCCTGGAGTAAGGAGAAGGAAAGGAAACAATTGGAATTTAAATTATTTTCCAATCACGTGACTAACATCACCTTTTCAAGTACAGAATATAAAAGCTGTCTTAATAATAATGGTAGTTTTCTAACTGTAATATCAAAATTTCACTGGGGAAAAATGTATTTGTTGTTATGTGTAACTACAGAAGTGTCACACAGGAGTTCAGAAGGTTAATGCTGTACAAGCTTTTTGGTTTGGTGCAGGACGCCGTAAACCTCTGTTCTCTCTCCCAAACCTCTTTCCCTGAGGTGCTAATACTTGATGGCTGCCCATGAGACAGACGTCTGCCTCACTGGTCTTTGGTCCAGCGCTCTGAAAGGACTTCACTCACAGGGCTGTGCAGACTGGGAGAGAACTGGTCAGGGACCAACTGATCCAGTTCATTCAGTCTGTCCCTCACCCCTCCATTTCACTGCCTGTCTTCTGTCTTAGAATCTACCACAATAAACAGACGGACGCTAATTAAATTTGTAACAAACTAATTTTCCATCTATTTCCTAAATGCTTTATCCAATTCAGGGTCACAGGGCAGCCGTAGTATATCGGGCGCAAGGCAGGATATACCCTGGATGAGAGGCCAGTCCGTCGCAGGGAAAATCCATTAATCAGATTATTAAAATGTTATTAATCAATGCAATGTATCCAATAGTTCTCTCTTGTTCTGTTTTTAACCAACAAAATAAGTATTTACACACACAATTTCACTTTTTTGGAAACTTCAACACATTCCTTTTTGCTCTGAAACAAATAATGTTCATATTATTGAATGCATACACAAAAGCATTAAAGAGGAGCATGCCTCAAACAATAACGAGTATAAATTAATACTTCAACAGTCGATACATGATCATCTGTTCCTCAAGCCATGAGAACATCTCCTCTCAATGATGAAAGATCAAAAATGCTAGAAACATGTTTAATCTAGCTCTCACGTGATCAATTACAAACTGTCTGAGCTGGAGACTAGTTTCTAGTGCTGACAAACACTCGAACTCTGGCCCAAGATAAGCATAATGAGGCCTGTGGAGCTGAAGCTCTGGTTGCCTTTGGGATATTGTGGGTCACGGGACGCCCCAAAGGGGCTGAGTTCACCCAGGGAGCAAGCTGACCTTGTGGGTTGTGGGTAACAGGTTGTTTGCCAACAGTTCCCCAAAGAGGGTCAGCCCATGACTGAGCTCCGACACCCCAGCCCCAGACTGAGGGGGGCAGGGCTCTGTCGGCCTTCCCGCAGTGCTGTCAGGGGGGCTCAGTGCTCCTCCAGGCAGTGCCAACACCCCCGTGAGGATCACCTCACAGAAGGCTCTCTCCCGAGCCAGGAGCAGAGCTGCAGCTGTGCCCGTAATCATGACGCTGGCAACTGCAAATGATTCACTTCTTCCGAATGTCCAGGCCCTCTCATGGATATTGTAATGACTCGCAGACGTGGTTTTATAGGCTCCGTTGCCAGGAAACCTCACTGCATCGTTCAGTCTTAGCGTGGAGCCTGCCAGGCAGCTCCTCTTCCAGCCCTCAGCGCTGTTCTGGTGGTTTGTCTGATCAGACCGACTTGTCTTCCCGGGCTGCAGAGCTGGAAGCGACGCGTCCCGCTCGGGCCGGGACCGACGCGCGTCCGGCGGTTGCCAGGGGAAACCCCGGCATTTTATTTTTTTCTTTTACTGCCAGCGCTCTCCAGGTTTCAGCTCCCCAATCAATTCTCTCCTTGGAGCTTCCTTCATTTTCGCCACTTTCCCTTTTCATAGCTCCACCCCTTTTCGCTACAATTTCTGGCAGTCTTTCTGCTGCAGCCCCTTGTGCCCCGATGCCCGCCTGCCTGCCTGCCCTATTACTCTCCCTCCATGGCTGAAGAAGCTCCCGGACATCTGCGCTTGGGCTTCAGCCAAACGCCACACTGCAGCTTTCTCTTCCTGTACAGCAGCGTGAACTTCCCCGTGCCCCGCCCTGATGAGCAAACGGGGTGTGCTACTGCGCTCCCGAAAAATAATAAACCACAGCGCGGGGCCCTAGGGTCAGCCCCTGGGGTGCTGGCTGTGTGTAGTTTGTATGTTCTCCCTACATTTGCATTTGAGTTTCCTGCCACCGTCCAAAGACATGCTGACAGGTTATTTGTCTTCTGGGAACACTGGTCCGGGTGCGAATGTGTGTGTCTGCCTGCCTGGATAGGCTCCAGCTCCCCCGCAACCCTGATTCGGAAGGAGCCCCTTAGAAAATGGAAAGGTGGATGGAAGCAACACCGATTCAAAATACTGGTAAAATGCTGGACACAGTCCCTCAACAGATATCGCCGTCAAATGCTCGGTTAGGGTTAGGGTTAGGAGTGCTCGGAGTTACCATTCTGGCAGCAGTGCGCTTCCGCACCAAGGAAAAAAGAAATCCTCGCTCTGATCTCGTAATTACGACAAAGTTATCTCGTAATTACGAGAAAATTCTCACATTTATGAGATAGTAATCCCGTGTACTTTATGCGATCACGCGATAGCATAAAGTATGTTTCATCAATTACATATAAAGTAAAATTTCATCAATTTCCCTACGGGATTAATAAAGTATTATCTATCTATCTAGCACACGTGTCATATAACACCTATAATATCGCTACCTGCGGACTTAAAAGTTGTACGCAGTGGGACTGATTGCACGTATAAACTGTTCATAACGGAACCATCATTGCTTTGATCTCTAAATTCCCCAAAAAGCGGTCCTCATGCCTATGATGATTGTTCATATTTGCTAAAAATGGCCAGATTTCATTATGACTAAACCCCAGTCAAAACTAAATCCGTACAAATTCTGCAGCGCAGGTCAATGACAAGATCATGAAACCGAAAGTGCCGGCCAAGTGTGGGGCGCTTCTAGATGCGTTCCGTGCACAATGACTTATTGTACATACACTGAAGTAATAATAATAATAATAATAATAATAATAATAATAATAATAATAATAAACTTTATTTTATATAGCGCCTTTAAAGGTGGCTTCTCAAAGCGCTTGATCAAGTTTACTTAATGATTACTTAATGATCAAGTAATCATTGCTATCTCAAAATAATTCGTTATCTCGTAATTAGGAGATAAAGTGACATCGTAAAACGAGCTCAGCTGGCAAGACCCGGGTACGAGCCCATGCAGTGAGGCACGAAGTAGGGTGGGAGCGGCGAGGGCACAACCCCTAGAACCCGAATCCGTTACAATAACAAAAGGACAGACAATGAAATATGGGCTATTTTGAAGTCGCAATTCTGAGATACCATAGCACGTTTATATTTTACTCCCTGGCGAAAACGGTCTTCCATAGAATTCCTATAAGTGGGAGCGAAAACAGCTCGTTAAAAAGAATCTAGCTCCCCATCTGTCAGAAACGCACATTTCTACAGCTGGTTTTCAGGTCCGTCTTTTACAATTGAAGAGCTCTTGCTGGGACAGCCAAGGCGCTAACCCCTTTCATCGTTTATCGTCTTCAAGTGGGGTGACAGCGAGTGGGTCCCCGATAGTGGACACACGGAATAAGGGAACTCGCGCTCATTTCTCTCAAGAGCGCAGCAGAAATGAATGAAGCCAATATTAAAATAACCCATTATCTACCGGCGCACAATTAATGACTGCGTTCCTTTCACTCAATTCCGCGCTAACAACGTGTTTATTTTGTGCGTGTGTGTCAGAGAACTACATGCCTGTGAGGAGATCAGATTTTTCTGCAAGGGAGCGAACCAAATAATTTCGCGCTGCATACGATTTATTGCTGCATTCCAAAAAACAAAGTTTGAGCAAGGAATTTTAGATGGAAAGCAAAATCCAGATTTCCCAGCAAGGACCCGCCTCCCTGACTCGACCTGTGGACGGGAATGCAAAGTAATGGAAATCCTGACGGCGCGATACGTAAGCTTGACTGCACTGGTGCCACTGGCTCGCTTAAAATAGTCCAAAAAAACATGCAGCTTCTCGCCGGGTAGAAGCACAGAGAGCGACCAAACAAAAACAATCTGTAGGGAAAAGATTCCCACTGCACTCTTTATTCTAGAATATCAAAAGACTTTTACTCCCCTTGTGATTTTTTTCCGCGTTCCGTCCTGCTTTTTTGCGGGACGCTGATTTCTGAACCGCCTTAGTGTTTTTTTTTTTCATTTTCGCCCGAATCCGAGCCATGTTTCCCCCCCAATGTGAAATTCACAAAATATCAGGATTGTAAAGGCGACGTTATTCTGGTTTACCCTATCGATCTTGTTAGTCTACAGCGCCAGCCTGCAAGAAAGCGAGCTGTGACAAACCGGGGGTCTACAGCCACACAGGCTGCGCGGAACACCTGGATCTTCACCTCACGCAGCGACAGTTCACTCGCCGTATGCACGTCCTTCCGGTCAAATTAAACGAAACAGAGTACTAAAACACAACAGATACGGACACGCAATCTGTGTGAGAGTCTCCGAATATACGCCGCCTTCTTCTGTACTGGGGAAACTGATCAAATACGCACAAGTACTGCAACAGAAAAACAAATACGTGGTTAATTCACATAAGCTCCTACCTGCGAAAACAGCACTTAAAGCAAAAGTCAGCAGAGTCCAATATCCCCTTCTAATCGCTTGCATCGTTCCTCTATTGGAGAGTGATTCTACAAGTCCAACGAAAGTAAATGCTGGAAACGAAGTGGATAATACATAGGCCTACACTATATGGAGCGAGTCGGCCACTCCCCGCATTTGTTAACGCCTTCTGAAGATCTGTGTTGTTTCCGGCAGAGAGCGCACCAACCAGCCGGGCTGGATGGAGACAGCAAGTCATCAAGCTGCGATACCAGAGATTCGTGATTAACTTGCGCGCACACTGACCGCAGACGAACAGGTAAAGGTTTAGGATACATTTTTAGGATAAAACCTAAAATATAAAACGTGACGTTCCTGCCTGTTGAGCCTTCGTTAGGTGTCGGGGAACCGTAGGGATCTAGAGCACAGGAGGGCAAATGACATAGAGCGGATGAGAAAGTGTCCAAACGAATGAAACGGATCTTTATAAAACGCATGTACGTGCGGGTGCGGGTTTATACGGCGGAGCAGGAAAGGAGGCAAACCTAGCCGAGCGGTCAGGGCGCAGGCGAGAGCACCTGCCGTAGTGAGCCCAGCACGGTAGCGGCTCCAGCGTTTGAGGTCGCCTTTACAGCATGCAAAGGAGGCATCTATGTTTTTTTATTCGCCCGATTTTAGACCAGCCTGCTGAAGTTATCTGCCTCCACGTAGGTGGCAGTTATCTGCCTCTCACGTCTGCTCTACAGACGTGTGAGGAGCTCCTCCGCAGATCTCCTTCTCTCTGTCCCTTCCAGTCAAACCGCGCCCCTTTCCTGCAAGCGATCGTGCTGTACTGCTGCCGTGTTGTCCGATTGCTCAGAAAGTATTTTGCATCCAAGCAGCAATGTTTTGCACACAGCGAGACTTACAAAAAAAAAAACCCACCAAGCTGTACAAATAAACATTATATTAAAAATAAATACCGTATTATGTAAAAGACATCTGCCCATACCGCGGCACTGCGCAGCACGGATCACCAGAACCTGTACATTGACTCCCCCTCAGTCACCCTGAGCTGCTATAATCGCACAATACTCCTTCGTGTTTGCACAGAACCACTAATTGCACCTGTCTATCAACCTGTCCTCCTTTACCGTGAGCTCATGTACTGTATGGAATAGTTTGATTAAATCCGTTGTTCCATCCGCCCAGTTTCTAACCGTCTCTTTCAATTCACGGTTGCGGGGTAGCCAGAGTCTATCCCGGCAAGCAACGAGCACAAGGCGAGACACACCCCGGTCGGGACACCAGTCCCCCGCGGGGCAGACACAGACACACCAGGGGTGATTTACCCCAGAAGACAGTTAGCCTACCAGCAGGTCTTTGGACTGTGGGAGGAAACCGGAGCACCTGTAGAAAACCCACCTGAACACGGGGAGAACAGACAGACTCCACACAGACAGCACCCAGGTCTAGACTCGAACCCAGGGCCCCAGCGATGCTGACCTCTGCACCACCGTACCACCTCACGTTGTGTCCCACTACTGGCACCAGAAGCCAGTAACCTGCCAAGACAGTGAATTCACTGTCGTACGTGATTACAAATAAAGTTAACGTGTGCCTTCCAAGACAGCTCACCGTCTGTCTATATTCCCAGATACGTATAGGATGCAACTTGCTTCATGACCTCATTACAAATTATAACTGGTTAAGGGTATCGAACCACCTGTTCAAGACCAAAGACAATTTCTTCCATTTCACTAGCATCTAAAATCCAGGCATTTAGGTTACACCATGCAGCCAAACTACTGTACCTACACGGTTCGGACACAGCCTGGGGTCTCCATCATTGACCAATATTGAAGTTGCGTGTATATTATTCAAAAGACAGGAGGCTTTTTTTTGCTGTATTTTGTGCTCGTGTAGTTTTAACCGGTCTGTAACCGCCCGTCATACAGTTTGCTGTCATTTATCATCATCCTTTTAGGGCGACGTCCACTGCAACGTCTAGTGGCAGGCTGCGGACGGACAGTACATAGGATTCCAGCACCAGTAAATGAACTGTTGAAGTCTATAACAAGACTGTTGTCTGTAGCTTAAGGAAAAGAGGCAGTGCGGCCGTATTAGATCAAATTCCGATGTGCCAATGTGGTAGTTACATGGGAAGGCCACTAGAGGGAGACTGAAGACAACTTTTCAATTGCAGGAAGCAGTTGATCTGCCAAACGTACAGTATATAAAGAACACAGTATCAGATATTTAACATACCTGTACCGCTGACAGCCTATAAACAACCCTCTCTGGACCCAGACACAAGCTCTATAGAGTCACAGATTAAGCAGTGCCTGGCGCCTCCCGTCCTCAACAATTTTGTTAATTGAATGTAGTATTAAGCTATACTGTACTTATTGGACGCTAAATATAAGTTCCAATGAGCCGCAAAGAAGCCAAGTGTATCGCCTTCAACAACGTGGTTGGGAGCCTAAAACTCAAGCCAAATTACTTGTTGCTCAATTTTAAAAGTTGTATCAGATATTTTGGTAGGTGTGGGATAAAAACAGAACAAATGTAACACATGGAAAATACTTTTTTTTGCTCCAAAGTCAGTTTGGGATACATTCCTATTTGTCTAGCACAGGGGTCCCCAGTTCTGGTCCTGACCACACTGACCCTACAACACCAGAACTGGGGACCTCCCTGTTCTAGCACATTAATACCGTGATGAGTACAGCATTCTGCACAGATCTGGAACAGCAAGTTTCTTCCCTTACACGGTGATATCTGATCCGAATCCGACTCCCGTGGAGCGTGTTGTAAAAGACTCCACGCGTGACGATATGATCCGGAAGAGTCTGGAGAATGACGTCAGGGATGGCACAGCTAGGTATGGTCGGGATGACAGACAGGGGGCGGTGAGTGAGGTGATCCGGTGCATAGGGGGAGCGCAGGCGAACGAGTCCAAAGTGGTAGTAAGGCGCAGTCCAAAATCCAGAAACCCGGAGATCCATCGGAGACGCAAACGGTTAAAAACAGGAACAGGGAACTGGGACCAGGAACACAAAAGGTAAAAACATAACGGGGCAAGGTGGTCTCAGCCCCGGACTTAGAGGTCAGGACGCCGCGATAAAGCCTGTGCCCTCGGACAGCTCTTGAACGCGATAGTAGGCGGGCTTGCGGGGCTTGAGCCCGGAACTCCGGAGACACCGGGCTTAAATAAGGGAAAGGGAATGAAACACAGCGGACACTAATGAAACTAAGAACAGTACGAGAAAGGTAAGAGCGCCCTCTAGAGGAGGTATGGCGACCGTGACACTGAGTCATATTTCATGAGAATTATGATTAATATTTTGCCACAGGGATAGTAAACTGATTATTCTATATTTGTTGTAATACCTAACTATGACCAGCAGAGGCAGATGAAAGACTGTTCTTTACAACTGCACGAGTCATTGCGAGCCCACTTAGCCAAAGTGAACAATTCAGAATTCTGCATCTGGACATACGGAAGTGTAATCGGACCTATTGCGCTCTATGGAAGTGAAGTGTGGGGTTCAGTCACACAGCAGGATTACACTAAATGGGACAAATACCCCATAGAAGTCCTGCACACAGATAGCTGTAAAAATACTCTTAAAGTGCAGAAAAAAACATCAAACAATACATTCAGAACATTGGTAATTAATATACAGAACAAAATATCGTAGCGCTCCAGGGTTCACGTGGGTATGCGACCTCGCCACTACTGCCTCAGGTCAGCCCCCCACCATCAGGGACTCGAACCCAGGCCTCCGGCATCACTCAACAGGGACCCAGCCAGTTGAGCTAAAGGGAAATCTCCCGTCAGCCCCCTGGCTGTGGTCCCTGCTATTCACAGGGAAGGGCGGTGACGTCACCGGGCTGGTAAGCCGGCTCGCACAACCTGCAATGGTGGCCGTATGCGTTACAATATAAAGTCAGCTACACATAAAAAGCAGTGATCACAATTCCTGCCACCACAAGGCCCTGCTGAGCCCAGAGAAGAGTCCTCTCTGCCATCTGATCCTGAATGTCAGTCTTCTCTGGTACCAGCCAGCCTCAGGACAACACTGTTAAACACAACAGAGCAGATCACAAATCACAGCACAAGCCCAGCAACACTGCCCCATGTAAACACAATACAAACTGGCAGGCTCCCTGGCACTTAAAAGACCCTACACGTAGGCTGACATGCACATGGGGTTAGAGAAAGAACAAAGCAAACAGAAACCGACCATAGTGAAGTACAGGCTCAGTGACCTGGGGCCTGGCCATAGAAACTGGCAACACAGGCAGGCCTGGCTGCCCAGAGAGGACAGGCTGTGCTCCCACTGCCAGCAGGGAGAAGCAGAGCCAGAGATGTACTTTTTGCTGCACTGCGAAAAATACTCTGGAATCGGACAAACATCCTTTCCTAAAATAATATTCATCCCAGAATTCCCAAACCTGTCAGAACAGTTCCCAGTCCTACTAGGGAAGGAAACGAAAGAGCTTCAGCCCTGCGTGTGATCGCCTGTCACAGCCTGAGGAACAGACAGTATGCGGTAATGTGATTTTTGTGTTGTAAATGTTGTCTATTTGTTGTTGCTTTGGCAACCCTGTAATCCGTTGGCCATGTCAATAAAGCTCATTGAACCTGAAAATGAAGCTACTTATTTCTACAACTCTGCCAATGTCTAGCTAAGGTATCGTTTCAAAATAGATTGTTTGCTAATTTACTGTATTTTAAAAAATGCTTTATCAGTAATAAGTCTAAGTTTCTTGAAGCCTCATTTCCAGGCAGAAGGAAATTGTGTGTGGATCAGTTCTTTATTAGCATGATTTATATGAAACAGTACAAATTGATTCTTATATACAGTAGCCTCTTCTTCGTACCTAAGTGTGCAGAGCCCTGTATACAATTTAAGCGAAGCAAAAAGATACCCAGTTACAAGTCATTACAGCACAATTGGAAAGAAAAGTCAGCAGCTTAAATATTATTCACTAGGAATCACACCACCCTAGAATTAAGTGTACTAAAAAGGATTATGAGACCGAGGGCCACAGGACAAGGAGGCTGGGTCCCCCATACAGAGTGAGGAGTGACCAGGCTGCAGAGGTGGAGCTGAGGTGGAGGAGGGAGGTAAAAAGATGTGTGAGGCAGAGAAGGGGGGCACGTACAGTATTTGTAATGTTTTAGGAGAGTAAATGATGTCAGGAGTGATCGCAAATTACTGACGTCCGAGTCTGATTGAATTCGGCTGTTGTCATCCCTCATGAACTTTCATGAGAAACTCCATAAAGTATTCCGTGTTTTGGCATGTCTGTAGTTGACTGAGCGTGCATTCCAGTAACGAGGCATGTACAGCTGGAGGCTTTGACTGAGCCCAGCTTGTCTTGGCATGCTCAGTAACTCTGCATGTTCTGGCCCAAGGAGTGATGAGGCCCAAAGGGGTGGACAGGTCAAGGAGCCCCTGAAGGTAGGAGGCCCCTGACCCATAGAGGACTTGACCTTAAACTCAATTCAAAAACCACAGGCAGCCAGTGCGAGGACCTCAGCACTGGAGTGGTGTGATGCAATGGGCAAATACAGGTGGCCCTCTGAGCAAGGCTGAAAACACCTTGAGTTAGAGGTGCCATTTCACACCTCACACAAAATTGGTTATGTTAACTGAGGGATTTCTTCCCACTGAGTGCGTGGGATTTTTCTAGATCCAAGACTGTTGTAATCATTTCTGGAACAGATTTGGCACTTGAAGCAGTCACACAAGCATTTGTATTCCACAGAGCTCGGAAAGAGGGCAGGTCTGGTCTTCGATGTAATTGAAGCTGTAGGTCTGTAAGCATCTTTCAAATGTCCAGATGGTCGTTCGCCTGTGCAAGCGAAGGGCGGTTGCGCAATTTCTGTTGGCTGCGTGACAGCGCTGTCAGCGGGGAAAGAGGGAAAAAAAATGATATCGCTGCAGGCTGGCTTGGCTTGGAATAAAATACCCCCTGCAGAGAGAAAACAGATACACTGGCGAACAACCCCAGAAAACAACACCACCAACAAGAGGGAAGGAGAGATTGGCTCGCTGGATTCCCTGTTGTCCCAGCACAAGCAAAAACATGAATCAGGGTGGAATTCTGGAGCTTGTGTGGACGCACGAGAGATGACACTGAGAGGAGGAAAGTCAGCTGCCTGCTTCGTTAGCTCGCTGCTTCTGAGAACAACCCTGCGGAGGCCCTTTTTCTGCAACAGAACTATCGCGCTTTTTACAGTGAGTGCCTTTTATGGCTGTCAGGAGATTATGGGTTTTCGCTGGAGTGCTGGAGGCCGCAGTCTCTCATCATTAGAACAAAACCACCAGATCTCAATGCCACACCCCTGCAGCCAAACCATGGCTTCTTTCTCCTGCACGTGCAAGAGTGTCCCCTCTTCCTGACGCCACGCAACAAGGAGCCACGAGCAGCGCTATTAATCAGTCCCAGCGCTGCAATCAAACAGCCGTGTGGGATAAAAATACCAGCGCCTCATGCTTTTTCCTCTTCTGGAAAGAGGAAGTTAGTAGCATTACCTCAGAATGTAAGAAACAATGAAAGCCCCTTCCCTAGGAAGAAAGACGTAACCAAATGTCACTTTTAGTTTTACTTGTTACTGCCTTGGACTTCTTGGAAAATGGTATTTTTTCCACTTCAGAAAAAAAACATCTTTGAGCCGCTGTGCCCACAACACTCCGCCCGCTATCTGGTCAGCTGCTGCTCTCAGCTCTTCTGTGATCTCCTACATGCTGTACACAGTGTCTAGGGGACGTGGGACGGTGAAGTCAGGATTGCTGTTTTAGTTTTAGACCCAAGCAATTCGAATGTGAGATACAAAGATGAATCTGAGCCAGAAGTACGGAATGTCAGCTTTCATTTCTGGGTGTTTCTGTGCATGTGTGTTGCACGGTTTTAGAATAATAGCACTGTTTGTGTTATAGCACTATCCCCCCGAAATTCAGGTGAACATCTGCAAGAGCTAAACTGAGGGACAGCACCACAGAAAATAGTTAAATCTCAGTATCGATGAGTCAAGGCGGTTCTCTCTCTGAATTATATAGGGTGCTAGAGTTGTCACTGTGCAGGGATTAGCTGAAAAAAAAGTGCTTGAAATTTTCTACAAATTAAGAAGATAAAGTTTCTAAATATTTTTAATAATGATTATTTCAATCCCTTAAGAGTTTTGGCATGCAACACTACAAGTGACGTACACTGTGATTGATTAGCAATTTGTTTTAAAACTCAGCAACAATAAACAAAGTATTTGAATTGTTTTAGTTTTTTTAAATACTCTGCACAGACACAGGCAGAGAGTTATTATACCGTATGTGGGGAGGATGAAGGAGGCAGTGAGACGAGGAGTTCACAGCTCTTAGCAGAAACCCCTGGGCTTTCCCACGCAAATGACATCTTACTTTCAGCAATGTGGAGGGTTTTCTGTGGGGAGCTGTCAGTGTGGGCACTTGGCGACTGTGGTTTGACAGATCTTGCCTAAAAATACCATAAGCTAAGGGAAAAAAATCCCCAAACATTGCAGTAATTTAATGTTTGTCGAAAATAATGGTATATGTTTTTTCCAGGGGGCAGGGAGCAGGGGAGAGGGGAAGGTACATTGCTATGGCAGTTAGCATTGCTGCCTTGAAGCTCTAGGGACTTGCAGTGAAATCAGGATTAGGGAACCATTTGTGTGGAGTCTGCATGTTCACACCTTGGTTTTGGCCAGGTTCTCAGGTTTTCTCCCCCTTATTTAAAAGAGAGGCTGGGTAGGTGAACTGGTGTCTCTAAATTGTACCTGTGTATTGGGGTGCACTCCATTAAAGATGCAGTTTCCAGCTTGAGAAAAAAGGATATTTATTGAGAAATAGTTAAACCCATTTCTGAGCTCCACTGAGTGGAGTCGAAAATGCCAAAATGTAATGCATCTGCAAGACCTGTGTCTTTCCTACAAAGTTTTGCTTTGTAGATTTTATGTGAGGAGAGGAGTTTCAGGACTCAGGGTATGTGTGGGTATGTGAGGGGGTCACAATAAACAGGGAACAGCACAAGGTGATAGACTTGGCTCTGTGTACCAGAGAGAGACTATCCAAGGCAAACCCAATGGGTGAAGCAAGGACATAGGGCCAATGGAAACTAAGGGCAAGTGCCCTTAAAATAGGAGGTACATATTTACACAAAGGGTGGCAGGAGTCTGGAGCAAGTTATGGGCATGATGTTGAACAGCTTCCTGATTGTAAACCATGCAACAAACTGACTTAACAGGACGGATGCAGCAGTATGTTCACAACCCTTAAAATGAACAGTATCAGAGAGAAACTGTGGCAATATACATTATATGGACTTACTTATATGGGAAGAAACACTGGGAAATGGCTCTTTATACTGCATGGGATGATTCATAGATAGCACAGCTGAATATACAGATCAAATAAACTTGACTTCAGAGCCACTGAATATTCACAACTGGATGTTAGCTCTTCCTACAAAAAAATGTGCAAATTTCGTTGGAAAAATTATTTTTTATTATATACACTGTAGATTACAAAAATAACATTAAAACTATAGTTTACAAAATATTCAGTGCATGGAGGACAAGAAAACACTTATACAATATTTTCATCTGAAAAGGCACGGGAATAAAGTGGGTTTCAGTTGGATTTCACAAAAGCTTCAAAGAGTTTATAAGTGACTGGTGTCTATTATATAGACGTAAACCTTTGCACTACAGTACCCGTGGAGCTGTACAGGGTAACAGATTTGACCAGGAACATCCAGGCTCTTGTATGGATCAAGATGGAAAAAAAATACCAAATGCTACCTTATCTTTCACCACAAGACTCCCTTTAGTCTAAATTCTGTGGTGGAATTAAAATAAATCTTAGCTTTTGTCTCCTTTGTAACTTTGAGAGTGTTAACATGTGGTTTTCAATTGTTTGTTCCTGAAACCACCTTAGGTCTCTTTTCCCCACCTTCCTAAACAACTATTTATTTTATTTCATGAAATGAATCTCACGCTGCACAATTAAGGCCTCTTAAACTGCAGGGCATGAACACCATTTTGGCCCATTAGCCCGTTGGTAGTAAATTGAGTTAACAGATCCAGGACCTCATCCAGCTGTTTCTTGACAAAAACAATCAGTTTAAATAACATGACTAGGTAGCTTGATCCCCACTCCCACCACTCTCTGTGTAAACAGGAGCACCACGAGGCCAAAGCTGGGCTGAGTCGGAATTTCCTGCTTGAAAGTCCAGCCATGTCTATGTGTCACCATCTAGAACAGGGATCGGCAAACTTTTTAGAGCCAGAGCCACTAAAAATGTTTTACTAACCTTGCTGGGCCACCTGAGTGAAGTCCTCTTTCTAGCCAATAAACTCCCCGACTAGAATAGGCCGCATTTCTCTGCGACCTCTTGCATACACTGCTTAATAAACTCACCGTCCATGAAGGGTTTGCCAGCTGCTGATAGAAGCTCCGAAACTCGATCACTAGCTGCGACATTTTCACAGAATTTTCTCTGGAACAGTCTTTGCTGCCCCTGAAGCGACTTTTTCCAACTGTTCTAATTTTTCCCTCCGTCCACCTCCTGTGTATTCCGAACACTTAGCCTGATGTTTTGTCTCATGACGCTCTTTTATGTCGTATTCTTTAATCACGGTGATTTTTTCCTGACAGATAAGACACATCACCTTTTCTTTCCAAGGGACACACAAGTACTCTCCTGGCCATGCGTCGTTGAATTTTTGAACCTCTGCGTCAATCTTTCTTTTTTCGACATGGCAGGAATAACTTACAGCGAGAACTCTCGTCAGTTATAACTTTTAGAACCGTTTGAAATGACTACCTGCTTTCAAACAAGATGGCGTACACTAGACATCATTTGTGTGACTGAGCCAATCACAGTAGGCAACACAAATCCAAATGAATTTACAGTAAGAATCAGCCAAGAAGCGTATGTAAACTAGGCTAAAGCTGACATCTGATACGCTAAAAGTCAAATGCATCCTGCAATAGGTGTTGTTCTGCAATTGACCGTTAGTGCTGAGAGAGCCACCAGGCCACTGGCGAAGATTTTCAATATCTGATGCAAAAAGTAGCCCTCGAGATTCAAACAGTAGTGAGCTGCGGGCCACGCAGAAAAGTTCAGCGGGCCGGATTTGGCCCGCGGGCCGAAGTTTGCAGACCCCTGGTCTAGAATATGTGTGGGGATTGTGGGATGCTACAGTGCACAGGGGAGCCCCTCCCCTCTCTAATGCTCTATAACCTGCCTCTTCACCTGGAAAGATGGACAGTCAGCTATTCCAGCTCCTTTGCAAGATGTTTAAGAATTAAAGGTCATCTGTTTTCCTGATTCACTCTGGCACAGTTGTATTGAGATAATGTATATATTTTTCAGGTTTCAAGGCCTCAGTATTTAATTGTATTATCATTTGTCATTGTCATTTCAGTCTTGAGCTCATATGGTCTTCGGTCAAGGGTTAAAGCCCAATGAAATGTTGCCAAATTGTGGAGATGTGCAGAGCTCAAGACAAGCTGTGCACGAGAGGGTCAGGTGAGATCCCCAGCTTCACTTTACCAGAGACGATCACACTCAGCTTCAAGAGAGACTTCCAGCGAAACCACTGTCTGTATCATTAGAAAAAAGCGTTTCTAGATCGTTCGGTCGCCCTCCACCGTCCAAAGACGTGCCGAGATCCTCCTCACGTCTGAGACAAGGGGGGAAGAAACAGCCCGTACTGCGATTCGCCGCCTCCCTTCAAACTTCGTCACGCAGACGGACGTCTTTCAGATCCTGAGCAGCACATTTCTGGGGTCCTTGCCCTTGACCCCTCGTCAGGGCGAGCTGCTGCTCCCACCCTTGCAGGGACTGTTCTGCCTTCTGACACGTCCGGGTGGCGCCCACCTCTCTCCGTGGCCTTTGAAGGACTCCTGCACGGACTCCTGCAGGGATGGCTGCTCCACAGGTTTCCCTCCGGGTTCAGCTCACGGCTCACTGCCGCCAGGCTCGGTGGACGGGCGCTGGTCAGCTCGGGCCGGCCAGGAGCCCTGCAGGACAGGGCGGGACGTCTGTTCAGCGAGAGCCACGCCGCTCTGTGGAGCGGCACCACAGCCTCTGCCTTGGGCAGGGCAAAGAGAAGCAGCCGACCGGCTGTCCAGAGACACACACGCGCTCATGAAGGGTGTCGTTCCCACCCAGGCTAGTGCAATTGCAGAATCGGGGAAAACTGTTTAGAACTGGGGCTAAGGAATAGATGGAAAGTCCATTCAAGGCCTGGATCACAGCGCAGTACGCGTCCCCAGGTAGCAGCAGGGCTCTGTAGTGTAGGACACCGGATCATCCAGCCGGAGGCTCTGCCCTCTGCAGTCCACAGCCCGGCTTCTTAGGCCACGTCTATCAAGTCCTTCTTCACGCAGGGGGTCAGCGTCCCCATCGTCATGCCCACTTCCTTCCCGTTCTGAGCTACGTAGCCATTCTGTCTGCAGGGTTTCCCGTTCTTCAGGCTGTAGCGTCCCATTTTGGTGTTCTTGTAGTACACCGAGTAGATGAACGCGAAAATCAAGCAGATAATGACGACGACCACGGCCACCATCCCGGCGATGATGGGCAGATAGTCCTCTGCGAAAAGAAGGAAGCAGGGCGTGTCACATGCAATCAGATAACACAGCTTCACGTATCTCAAGAGGAAAATGGCTGGAAAAGATACATTACCTATAACTTCCACTGTGAATGTTACGCTGTGACTCCCCACGGTATTGCTGGCACTGCATGTGTAATTTCCACTGTTTTCTTTTGTGATTCCGGTGATGGTGAAAACACCGTTGGTGTGTGATGATACCACATTACCAGCTCCAGAATGCTCCCATCTGTACTCTGGGGCTGGATTACCATCAGCTGAGCAATTTAAAACTACAGTGTCCCCTTTTAGAACACCCACAGTTTCGTGTGTCCTATTGCTAACGGGTTTGTCTGGAAAGAAAAGGA